TCAGTCTGTTTCTCTCCTGATGGAAATACATTAGCTTCTGGTAGTAATGATAAGTCTATCCGTCTATGGGATGTCAAAACAGGATAATAAAAAGCCAAATTAGATGGTCATAGTAATTGGGTCTAATCAGTCTGTTTCTCTCCTGATGGAAATACATTAGCTTCTGGTAGTGGTGATTAGTCTATCCGTCTATGGGATGTTAAAACAGGATAATAAAAAGCTAAATTAGATGGTCATACTAGTTATGTTATGTCAGTTTGTTTCTCTCCTAATGGAAACATATTAGCATCTGGCAGTAGCGATAAGTCTATCCGTCTATGGGATATTAAAACAGGATAATAAAAAGCCAAATTAGATTGTCATAGTGATTATGTTAGAGCTGTTTGTTTTTCTCCTGACGGAAACACATTAGCATCTGGTAGTTATGATAAGTCTATTTGTTTATGGGATATAAAAAAAGGATTATAAAAAGCCAAATTAGATGGTCATAGTGGAACTGTCTATTCAGTCTGTTTCTCTCCTGATGGAAATACATTAGCTTCTGGTAGTAGTGATTTATCTATTTGTTTGTGGGATATTAAAATAGGACAATTAAAAGCCATATTAGATGGCCATGAGAATTGGGTCATGTAAGTTTGTTTCTCTCCTGATGGAAAGATATTAGCTTCTGGTAGTGAGGATAAGAGTATCCGTCTATGGCAAATGAAAACAGGTTAATAAATGTCCATATTAGATGGTTAAACTGACACTTTCTACTCAGTCTGTTTCTCTCCTGATGGAAATACATTAACATCTGCCAGTTATGACAATTCAATCTGTTTATGGGACTTAAAAACAGGAAAATAAAAAGTTAAATTGGATGGTCATAATGAACCTGTCAGATCTATTTGTTTTTCTCCTAATGGAAATACTTTAGCATCAGGTAGTAGCGATAATTCTATCCGTCTATGGGATGTAAAAACAGGATAATAAAAAGCCAAATTGGATGGTCACACTAGTTCTGTCATTTCACTTTGTTTCTCACCTGATGGAAATATATTAGCATCTAGTAGTTGTGATAACTCTATCCGTCTATGGGATGTAAAAACAGGAAAATAAAAAGCCAAATTGGATGGTTATAATAAAGCTTTCTTATCTATTTGTTTCTCTGTAGATGGAAACACATTAGCAACTTGTAGTGAAGAGGGTTCTATCCATCTCTGGGATATTAACACAAGAAAACAAATTTAAATCATGGATAAAACTTATAAAAATATTTTGGCTTAATTTAAAACCCCTTTATTTTAAAACTACCTTCTACCAGGTATTTATTATTAATCTATCTTTAGTAATGGCTAATTTACCTATCCTTATCATATCTTAATAGGCACTCTTTCAAGCTTAAGGAGCTTTAATTCTAAAAGGAGAATTCGTTAATTAATCAGGTCTAGATTTAAAGACTGTATTTAAACAAAAAGGAAGTTGCTTTTCGGAAACCTTGTTTTAAAAGTGAATTTGATTATTATAAAAACGTTGTAATAAAAATTCCATTTCTATATTTTAAATCTGAGTACTTAACAAGAAGGTTTTACAATATTTTATTTACTTTATTCATATTTACACCTTCTTTATTTTAACATTTATTTAAATATATTATCAGTCAAGTATAGGGAATGATTATTCGGCAGTTTTAATAATTGTTATCACGATGTAAATAGAAATGTAAATATACAAAACTGAAATAACAAGGATTAACGAGTGCAGTGAACAGACTAATCAAATTTATTTATTAAAATAATAAATTTAAATTTTACAAATTGAATAATTTTAAAAAGGTATATACTAAAGCAATGTTTTGAAAATATTAATTAATTAACAATAGATATAAAAGTATTTCTCTATCTAAAAGATTGAAACAATAGATTAATCAGCATTTAGCATAATCTACTCAGATATTAAATAGTCAGTAATTAATTTAGTATTCTGCAAATCCATCTGTATAAATATAAAATTTATTTGATATCATATAATATGATAATTATTTAAGTCTCCTTTCAAGAAATTAACCAAAAAATGTTTAATAAATCAAAGCAAAACTATTGAGTAGAAGAATAATTTAAATGATGTTGTTATTCCAAAAGAGAAAGTCAATTAATAAAACATTATAATTATTTGAAATAGATCAATTTCATTTCCTTTACTGTCATTAACATAAATCTAAATAATTTACATACACTTTCAGTATTTTCTTTTGAATAATTTAGAATACAACCAATTATATCAAATTATTTTATTTGGAATTAAATTATTGAAAAATTCAAGTAATTACTTACCAAAGATGAAATAAGTACAATCTAGAAAATTTTTAATTATAGCTAGTTTTAGTATTTAATAGAATTTTGAAATACAACTCAAAATAATTCATATATAATTTAGATATTAATCACCTGATGTTTTTATTTACTTCTATATGAGTTAATTAGTGAAATTTTAATAGAGACCATTAATTATAGACATAAAGGTTTTGGAAAAATTCATAANTCTATCCGTCTATGGGATGTAAAAACAGGAAAATAAAAAGCCAAATTGGATGGTTATAATAAAGCTTTCTTATCTATTTGTTTCTCTGTAGATGGAAACACATTAGCAACTTGTAGTGAAGAGGGTTCTATCCATCTCTGGGATATTAACACAAGAAAACAAATTTAAATCATGGATAAAACTTATAAAAATATTTTGGCTTAATTTAAAACCCCTTTATTTTAAAACTACCTTCTACCAGGTATTTATTATTAATCTATCTTTAGTAATGGCTAATTTACCTATCCTTATCATATCTTAATAGGCACTCTTTCAAGCTTAAGGAGCTTTAATTCTAAAAGGAGAATTCGTTAATTAATCAGGTCTAGATTTAAAGACTGTATTTAAACAAAAAGGAAGTTGCTTTTCGGAAACCTTGTTTTAAAAGTGAATTTGATTATTATAAAAACGTTGTAATAAAAATTCCATTTCTATATTTTAAATCTGAGTACTTAACAAGAAGGTTTTACAATATTTTATTTACTTTATTCATATTTACACCTTCTTTATTTTAACATTTATTTAAATATATTATCAGTCAAGTATAGGGAATGATTATTCGGCAGTTTTAATAATTGTTATCACGATGTAAATAGAAATGTAAATATACAAAACTGAAATAACAAGGATTAACGAGTGCAGTGAACAGACTAATCAAATTTATTTATTAAAATAATAAATTTAAATTTTACAAATTGAATAATTTTAAAAAGGTATATACTAAAGCAATGTTTTGAAAATATTAATTAATTAACAATAGATATAAAAGTATTTCTCTATCTAAAAGATTGAAACAATAGATTAATCAGCATTTAGCATAATCTACTCAGATATTAAATAGTCAGTAATTAATTTAGTATTCTGCAAATCCATCTGTATAAATATAAAATTTATTTGATATCATATAATATGATAATTATTTAAGTCTCCTTTCAAGAAATTAACCAAAAAATGTTTAATAAATCAAAGCAAAACTATTGAGTAGAAGAATAATTTAAATGATGTTGTTATTCCAAAAGAGAAAGTCAATTAATAAAACATTATAATTATTTGAAATAGATCAATTTCATTTCCTTTACTGTCATTAACATAAATCTAAATAATTTACATACACTTTCAGTATTTTCTTTTGAATAATTTAGAATACAACCAATTATATCAAATTATTTTATTTGGAATTAAATTATTGAAAAATTCAAGTAATTACTTACCAAAGATGAAATAAGTACAATCTAGAAAATTTTTAATTATAGCTAGTTTTAGTATTTAATAGAATTTTGAAATACAACTCAAAATAATTCATATATAATTTAGATATTAATCACCTGATGTTTTTATTTACTTCTATATGAGTTAATTAGTGAAATTTTAATAGAGACCATTAATTATAGACATAAAGGTTTTGGAAAAATTCATAATTTCTTTAGAGTTCTATTCATTCCAGACCTAGATTTTCATATTTAAATAATTTTCTATTCTTGAAAACTAATATAGAAGATATGATTGAATTTATTATTGGCTTTTTATGGAGATTTAAAAATAATTTATCATTTAATCTATGAATCAGTTTAAACTTCTTTATTATACTTGTCTAATAAATTATTTCAGATAGTGTTGAATTAAGATCTTTTTTTCTTAGGATTATATGAAAAACATCATCTTAGTTAATTATGATTTTTAAATTTCACAATACCATGGTCCAGATTATTTTTCTGTGGATATAATCACTTAACAAGGAATCCAAAAATTATTTAAATTGTAATATCTGGTAATTATCAGTATCGTCCTTCAAAAGGTTGTCTTTTGTAATTAAAAATTATAGTATTTAAATAATCTTGAATCAGTATATCATTATCTAATTGGAATTCGTAATATACGTAACCAAATGTTAAAAATTAAGATCCTTATAAGTTTACTTAAGCTTCTTAATCTCTATGTAAAAGGAGAGCGAGGTTTAGCCTCACCCCTCCACATCTCTTAAGCTAGAGTTTATAGCGCACTTCATTAAATTTATTTTTAAATAGATGAGATTTTTGAAGTTCTTATTAATTTTTAAGAGTGTGTTTACATATATATTTTATTATGATATCTGCATGATGTCACCTAGGATCGATAGTATTTGAAAAATTTCAATTTAAAAAGTCTACTTATTGAGATACTAATTATAAAGGGGAATATGAGCAGAAGCAAAGTTTAGTAACCAAAAAAACTTAGTGTTAACATTACACCTTATATTTAATAAAGTTCACTTCTGACATCCATATTGAAGAATAATTAAATCTAACATTGTTTTATAATAATGGATTTTTTTATTTTAATTCAATATTGGAGATTTATAAAATCTATATAATGAATTAAAATACGAATATGGTATGTTGCTTGAAATTATCATACCAAAAGCTTTTATAAAAATTTAGTTAAATTTTAACGATAGGTAAAGAATAAGTGAGAATTTTGTTTATTTTCAGAATAGCACAGATTAAAAAAAATCATTTCTTTTTTGGTGAGAAAAAACAATATTTGCTGTAATTTTGCAAAATATTGATAATGAAAATTTTCAGTAGAAAAGAAAATAAAACTAAATAAAACATGAGAAATGACATTATAGATAAGTCAAATATATACCTTTAGTCTGTTTTTGTGCTATTATCCAGAATTGTAAGGTATTATTTAGATGATTATTTATTTAAACAGCAAAAATTGTGCAAACTCCACATTTCAAGTTATAGCATTTTCAATTAAAACAGAAACTATAAAAAAATCATTCTATGACATTAATGATGATATAGATAGTCATTTGTGATGCATTACCATATTTCTCATGATCTGAGACAGTATCATAATTGTAAAAATAGGCAATATAAGCTAATATTTTTATTTTAAACATGGTTTGGTTTTTATTTTAATTCCACTGCTCTATTGTATATACATAAATTTAAAGTAAGAATCACAAATTTATTCAATAAAAAATAAAACTCAATTCTAAAGATTAATGCAACTTAATGTACTCAAAAAATACAAAAATGTTGAATAATTAACAGATCAAATATAAAAAACAGATTTTCTATGTAAATGCTTATTGAAGTTTATGGGGAGGGGATAGGAAAATGAAGAAAAAATATATCAGTGTAATCAGAAATTCTATTTATCAATATTAAAATAAATGAAATCATGCGTCATATTTTTCATTTGAATAGGCTTAGGTGCATCTTAATTTTTAGTAACATCAAAAGCCATCTATGATTGTACTCAAATTAAGAAATATTTCTAAATCAGAGGCAGGTAGGGGTCAAAAATCAATGCTTAAAGAAATAATTGCTCATTACTAAATTATCTGACTTTTGTAAAGATTCTTATTATTGCCAATCGAATCAAAAATCAAATCGACTATCATTTTATTAAAGGCTACAAATAACTAATAATACATCTGATAAAATTTTATATACCTTAGATTTGATTCAATCAAATACTAATAAAATAGTCAAATAATTTCCAATCTCATTTTTTCATCGACAATTATTATTTTTTTGAAATTGAAACTTAATAGAATTTTTTAGTGTTCTTGAGATTATTTGCAATCTTCTAACAAAAAATCATATATTAATATAAAGTTCTTAGAACATTATTTCGAAATATTAAATAATGATTTATAATTAGCACTCTTCCATATTTTGAGTTTCTTGGAAAGGTCCAAAAAATTCGTTATTTAATACTCAATGAAAAATCAAACAAAAAAAGAAGAAAAATTAAAGAATAACGAAAAAGTTCTTCAATTAATAATTTATTGATTGAAAAGTTAAACTTTGACAATCAATAAATGTATTTGTTAGAAATTTTGAGAATAAATAGAGCTGACTGAGTAGAAGAATAATAGAATTATAATAAGTAATTCCAGTTAAATAAAGGTTTTCATTATTTAATTAGTCTATAATTTAAATCATAAATATAGGTCTTTTCAGAAAAGCTTAATGAGAGTATTGATTAATAAATTGAGTTAATTCTATTAATAATTTAGAGGTTTCTATCATAAATTCAAGAAATTCCATTAAATGACCTTTATATCTTTAATTTAATATTTAAAGAAGTAGAAAATGAAACAATTAATTATAATCGTGTAAAACGCATTTTCTAAAAAAATATGAATCTGCTTAATTCATAAAACCTGGTCAAAAAATTAAAAGAACAATTATGAACTTTTTATTCTTAGTAATAAATGGATTCAAAAGATGTTCTTGAAGATTTACTTAAATAGAAATAAAAAAAATATTTAATAATTAAAATTTAATTAGTAAGAAACATCAAAGTGAAATTTTGACGGTTAATGAAAAAAGTATCTTACATAAATGATTTGCTTGTTTGAATTGTGTTGAAGAAAATCCATTTAGATACACTAGGTTATCGAAGTTTTAAGAATAATGGGCAATATATAAATAAATTTATATAACTGATATGAAATTGAAAATATAAAATTTAAATCAAAATTAAGAATAGTTGAAGTAAATTATGAATGATTTGTAGTTAAAATTAAATAGTTTTATTGAAGAACATAAAATAAAATTAATTGATAATATTTAACTTTATTAAAATTAGATAGCATAATTAAAATCAAAGGAGGAAATATAATGGTCAGAATTAACCAAAGATAAAACGAATTAAATTGCTAATATGTTCAGTAAAAAAATTTATTTAGAATAATATATGATGAATCAAAAATTAAAAATTGAAAGTTGGAAGGGGGGGAATCAGATTTCTATTCTTCTTAACAAATAGAAAATTTTAGCAAATGTAATAAAATACTATTAACTAATACAAATCGAATCTATAAATCATTCTAAATATTATTGAAAACGCTATATATATTATTTTTTATTTTCTTTAATCATTAATCATATTTCAATTCATTGCATATCTAATTGTTTGTTAAATCTATTTCCATCCATAAACCTACCTTTTTGCCATTTTTGTATTCACCATTTATAATCTTTTTGGAATTATATTTAAATTCTTTGCTCAACTCCTTCCAATTTTAGATTTTAATCCCACCATTTCTTTCATCATATGTTCCACCACCACTAGAAAATAATAATTGGATTAAAATAAATTTACATCTAGTTTCCTTCATACTTAATTTTCCATATACCAACTTTTTTGCCATTTCTATATTCACCATCATAAGTTATTTACTTATTCCAGTTAAAGTCATCGCTTAATTCAGTCCATCTTCCACTCCTAATCCCATAACCTCTTTCATCATATGATCCACCACCACTACGACATTTATAATATGATTATTAAGAAAATTTACATTTATTTCCCTTCGTACTGAATTTACCATCTTCCAATTTTTGTACCATTTTAATATTCACCATAATGAATAACTTAAGAATAATCATAAAAACCATCATTTAACTCAATCCATCTCCCAATTTTAATCCCATTTGCCCTTTCATCATACTACCCACCACCACTAATACTTTCTAACAACAATTTTACATATATTCTTTCTTTTAATCTCTATTACCCTTTTTTTAATAAATTTCCCATCTGCCAACTTTTCTACCATTTTTATATTCTCCATTGTAAGTGACTTAAGAACTGCTCCAAAATTCATCATTTAATTCAATCCATCTCCCAATCTTAATTCCATAACCTTCTTCATCATAGAACCCACCGCCACTAAGCATTCTTCAAATCATGATACATCTTTTTGGATTCATGCTAAATTTCCCATCTGCCAACTTTTTTACCATTTTTATATTCTCCATTGTAAGTGACTTAAGAACCGCTCCAAAATTCATCGCTTAATTCAATCCATCTCCCAATCTTAAATCCGTTACCGTCTTCATCATAGAACCCACCACCACTAAAAATTGTAAATATTATTCAATAATATTATTTTACATCTTAAAATTATCTTACAAGATATTCCATCTACCAATTTTGGTATTGTTTATATATTCCCCTTCAAAAGAAATTTATGAATTCCATCTAAACCCATCGCTTAACTCAATCCATCTCCCTATCTTAAACTCATCACCTCCATTATTATATGATCCACCTCCACTAAATTTGAGCATATCATAAGGTTACATCAATTTTCCTTCACATTTGATATCCCATCTACCTACTTTTTTACCACTTTTATATTCTCCATTATAAGTGACTTATGAATATTTATAAAACCCATCACTTAATTCAATCCATCTTCCAACTTTAATCCCTTCATCTCCATAATCATATGATCCGCCACCACTAATTATTGAGAGATAATTAGATAAATTTACATCTATTTATGTTCGTACTTTGTTTCCCAAATACTTACTTTTTTCCCATTTTTATATACCCCACTATAAGTAACTTAGGATTCATTATAAAACCTATCCTTCAACTCAATCCATTTACCATCTTTTTAGCCTTAGCTATTGTAGGATCCACCCCCTCTTATTAAATTAAGCAAAAATATTACATCTTTTCGTTATTATAGTTATAAGTCCATATTCCCTATTTTTAATCATTAAAGTAATCTCCACTTTAATATATTGTGGCATGGCTTTTTTGAAATCAAATAATTAATTTTTATTACCTCCAATATTAATTAATTAGTTCTTTCCATAAACCTTATTTTAATCCACTCTCATAGTATCCACCAACTTCTAAAAGAGCTTCTCCATTCCAAATAGCTATCCATTTGCCAAATTTTCTCTTGTTTTAACAATATTCACCTTGCCATTGAAGATGCTTTATCTATTCTAAGTTTAAAACTTCTGGATTCAAATAATTATCTTAAATTATTTAGCTTTGAAACATATAAATGATCACTTACTTTTTCAATATTACTCCTTCATATAAGCATATGATTTAATTATCTTGTGTAATTGTTAATTAAATTTTAACCTTAACAAGCCTTTATTAGATTTAATCCCATTTGTTAACTTCTAAATCTACGGTTCCGTATTAAGATAAAGTTTGATCTAAGCAATTTAATGTATTTTTAATTTAAGGATTCATTCTATTCTTTAATTATTTTTAACTTATATAAAATATTTAAAGGAAAATAATAATTTATTAAATAAGCCAAAAATGATAATGATTATGAAATTCATTAAGAGAGTTTTTATTCAATTCTGAATAATTATTGGTATATATGGTGGAAGATTACGATTAAAATGATATCTGGGGTCTATTAAATGATATAAATATATTACTTTTTCTTTTAAAAATTGGTTATAATAAATCTATTTATACAAGAATTGAAAAATAATATTTAATTGATAAATATTTAATGATATATATATTCATCATTTGTTGAATTGACTGAATATTTCTACTTTCGATAGATTATCTAAATCATTATCTTATTAATCATCATTATTAAAATAATAATTAATTTAGTAATTGATATAAGCAAACATCCCTAAGACTTTTTCTTACCATTATGTAAGAATATTTATTTAATATTTAAAACGCATTAACTAATCCATGTTTTGGAATCATTTGATCAGAAATATAATTGCACCAACAAACATTTTTGCTAGCTTCAACAACAGTCCATTCTATTTTATGATATTTAGCAGTTAGTATGTTTAAATGATTACTAAAATGTTGGACTTGAAGGATACTAATCAAATATTTACTATTATTACTACTCTAAACAATAATAAGATCTATAATATCGTAATATTTAAATTTCTAATCAATCCGATGAATCTTCAGTTTATTTTAGTTAATAATAATGTATCTATTTATTCTTTCTTGAATTCATAAAATCTATTTAATTTAATTGGTTAAATTAGTATAATCGAATTAATTATGATCATGATTAAAATTATCAATTATATCATTTATAATATTCATATNAACATATAAATGATCACTTACTTTTTCAATATTACTCCTTCATATAAGCATATGATTTAATTATCTTGTGTAATTGTTAATTAAATTTTAACCTTAACAAGCCTTTATTAGATTTAATCCCATTTGTTAACTTCTAAATCTACGGTTCCGTATTAAGATAAAGTTTGATCTAAGCAATTTAATGTATTTTTAATTTAAGGATTCATTCTATTCTTTAATTATTTTTAACTTATATAAAATATTTAAAGGAAAATAATAATTTATTAAATAAGCCAAAAATGATAATGATTATGAAATTCATTAAGAGAGTTTTTATTCAATTCTGAATAATTATTGGTATATATGGTGGAAGATTACGATTAAAATGATATCTGGGGTCTATTAAATGATATAAATATATTACTTTTTCTTTTAAAAATTGGTTATAATAAATCTATTTATACAAGAATTGAAAAATAATATTTAATTGATAAATATTTAATGATATATATATTCATCATTTGTTGAATTGACTGAATATTTCTACTTTCGATAGATTATCTAAATCATTATCTTATTAATCATCATTATTAAAATAATAATCAATTTAGTAATTGATATAAGCAAACATCCCTAAGACTTTTTCTTACCATTATGTAAGAATATTTATTTAATATTTAAAACGCATTAACTAATCCATGTTTTGGAATCATTTGATCAGAAATATAATTGCACCAACAAACATTTTTGCTAGCTTCAACAACAGTCCATTCTATTTTATGATATTTAGCAGTTAGTATGTTTAAATGATTACTAAAATGTTGGACTTGAAGGATACTAATCAAATATTTACTATTATTACTACTCTAAACAATAATAAGATCTATAATATCGTAATATTTAAATTTCTAATCAATCCGATGAATCTTCAGTTTATTTTAGTTAATAATAATGTATCTATTTATTCTTTCTTGAATTCATAAAATCTATTTAATTTAATTGGTTAAATTAGTATAATCGAATTAATTATGATCATGATTAAAATTATCAATTATATCATTTATAATATTCATAAAATAAAGGTATTTATTAATATTTGAGAATCGAAATTAAGTATTTATATTAATTTCTAATTTGTATTTAAATTTAGAATCTTAATTTTATTTTTGGTGCCATAGCTATTTGCTACATGACGGTCTTGTTCATTCTACACTTATCAATATCCATGAATATAGAGATACACAGGATCAAATGTGGAACAGAATTTGCAGTTTATCACTCTTGGCCTCATAAGCCTTCACCTTCCTAAAGACCATATAAATGAAAAAATTAGATATGGAAATTAAAACAAGACTTAAAATTGAAATAAAACATTTAAAATAAATATTCCTATTTCTAATTTTTTATAAGTTTATTTTGTTAACGTTCATAAATTCTACAAATTTTTTTTATTATATTGATGATTTCAAAGTAATATAACCAGAGTAACAATTATAAATAATTTTGAAAACTGGCTAGCTTAATTCAAAAGAGATTAACATTTAATCCCTATAGATTAATTACAATACAATCTTTAATTTTAAAAGAATTTACAGAAATACAATAATCGATTTTCACCAATAAAACAATCACTGAGGATTTATTAATACTTTTATCAAAAACTGTTCTACTATAATAATAAATTAATTGTGTTTCAAGGCTTCAAAATTTTTCATTATATTTCATAAAGGAATTAGATTTAATTTAATTTCTATTATTGTAAGGATTGTGAGAATTTGATAACTCTCAGAAATCTTTATTTTTAGACCAACTACCTAATTTGGATTTTTTTTCAGATTTAAATAAAATACTTTAGATTTAATTTAGTAAGAGAATAGTTTTAAATAGATTTACCTTCCAGGTTTGTTTTGCAGGTGATCTTCTTCAAAAATATAAGGTATCAACTTTATGTATTTTTGAAAGTATTATAATAATTTAAGGATTTTTTCATTTAAAAATGCTGCCCTAATTATTAATATAATTACTTGATTATTCATAATTAATTGTATTCAATTAAAATGATTCATTTGAATTATAATAACTATTTTGCCAATTTCCTTCCCTAAAAAAAGTCTTACATAACTTCTTTAATTTTTAATCCAACAGCAAACCACCAACCATTAGAATTTAATTATTTTCTTTCATAGAATGGAATTTTAATATTTCTAATAATTTGTTGATATAATTTAAATTAATTTCTACAAATTTGGTTCTTGTTAGTATTTCTTGAAATTTTATTCATTAAATAAATCATTGATTTCAATTATTATTTCATGAATACTCATTGGTGATTTTTTTTGATATTTCAGCTTCAATTTTCAATATTTCAATTACTCTCTTATCTTAAGGTAAATCTTTATTATGTTTTACTTTAATGGCTTAAAGAAAAAGATTAACAATTTTATTATCTAACTTAAGTGTATATCTACAAAAGAAGTTTCTAATTAAAGCGTTTTTTGATCGTAATGATTGAAACTAATGTTGTTTTTATACTAACATTCTCATTTGGAATATCAAAGGGTCTTCCTCTATACTCCAACACAAGAATTTGTATCATCTAAATCGATTTTGAATATGCTATTAATTTTTTGCATATACTATATTAGTAAATTTGCTTTAAAATAAACAAAATTAAAATTGAAACATAATGATTAATTACATATTTACTAATTATTTAATAAAATTTGAACAGTGCAAATCAATTCATTTTTATTTTAAGTTTATACTATATTTTTACTTAATTACTTAAATTTGGAAAATTTCATCAATAAATAATGGGTTAATAAGAATCCATGAATACTAGTATTTTTAAATTATATTTCAAATCAGAAATGATTTTCAGTATTTTTAACCTAAAACTTTCAAAATCATAATAATTATGAAATAAGTGATTATGATAAAAATAAATGATAATGCTACTATTCTAATAAAAATTCAAGATCTTCCTTTAGGAATATATGGAATGAATCTGATGATCAGATGTTATGATTGATAAGATAATAGATCACAAATTAGAATAAACAAATAAGTACAATTTTGATTTAAAAGAACAATTTATTAGAAACCTAAAAATATATAGATATCCATGATGATAATAAATATGATGTAAATTATGAAACGTTCTAATGATTTGTAATTTCAGAATAAAAAGTAGTATTTATTATTGAGAACCAGTTTGTCTACTAAAATTATTCTAAATATAAATAAAAATAGTAATTAAAACTACTTAATGGCATATTAATATAACAAATTTAATTTGATTATAATAAATAATTTGTAATTTTTTTTTAATTATAAATTTTTCTTTGGAATTTATTAGTATTATTAATCATTCATTAAATTTTTTTAATTTTTAAATCACTATTATAAATAATTGCATTACAAATTATGCTTCTCCATTAATATCCGATATAAAGAGTAATTAAGTAATAAAATTGTAAATGAAGAGCTTTCAATATAAATAAAAAAAGGAGGTGATTTTCAATATAAATAAAAGAAGGAGGTGATTGATCAATACAAAATTTTTTAAATTTCTTAAACTAGTATTAATTTAGTATATAGATATGCATGTAAATAATAATCATATTATAATACTATATTTATAATTTGCATAATGGTTTAGATTAATTAGATAATATATGAGAATTAATATTCATATAACATTCATTAAACCAATTCTTTGAGGAGCTTAAAGAAAGAATTATTATTAAGATTTCACTTAAAAGAGAATACAATGTATAGAATTCAATTTCTGATATTGCACAAACTTAAATTCTTTTCTTTTCTATAAAAATTCATTACATAAATAATGGAAGCAATAGTGTTAAAATAATTGAAAAAATGCAATAACAAAATACTATTTCTGATTATAATAATTATCTAAGTCTAAGAATATTTAAGAGAATTATACAAACTTAAAAAGTAATGAGTTTAGTAGAGTGAAATAATATATTAGTCGAAGTAATTATATTTATTAATTTTAGAAAAAATAGGTACAAAATCCTTTAAATTAATAATATAGTATATACGATAACATGTCTACTAAATAGGTTTCAATTATATTGTCAAATTATTGATTTGATGCCTACATGAATATTTGATATATGTAACAAAAAACACTTGACTTTAAAGAATCTGCAATGTCTACTTTTTTTGGTGTAATGAAAACAATATTTAACAAGCTTTAGAGAAATTACTTTAGGGTAATTCAAAAATAATAGAATCATAATTATTTTTAGAAACGAGATAATCAGGAGATTTAAGTTTAAATAAATGATAGCTATTATTTAATTAGGAATCATAGCTATAGTATAACAGTTTAAACTATAAAAATTATGATCTTGTGGTTGAGTAATTTAATAAAATATTAAAATGATTTCCTTAAGACCTAATGTAATTTTTATTTATAAAATGATTTTATTTAATTATGAATACAAATTTATGATATTTCAATGTATTTACACTTGCAATTTTGGAATGATGCAATGATTTTAATTTCCTATCTTATGTTCTGAATTGATAGTACCATAACTTAAGGATTTACAATTTATATACTCTTCATTATTTCTTTAAACTAATAATTCATCTGCTTCTTGCTTGTTTATAAGTTTGATTTATCTAGAACTTAATAAATCAATTTTATTTATAGAATCCTTTAAACATTCTATTTTTTATGTAAATTATAGAGGATGTATTAATATTTGTCTCACATCCAAATATTTATTAATTAAATTGGATTATTTTTGAAAAAATTCTCTTTAAGTCGAAGAAGTTATTAGGTTTGTTAAACTAATATCTTTCAGTTAAGAATTTTTCAATAGAGCATCCTTACTATTGCCCTCATTTTGATGTTTTATAAAAAATTTTATCAAAAAAAGTTTATAGAGTGTTGATTATATTGGTAAAAGTAAAAAATCTAATAAAGCCCTTATAATTGTAAACAAACCACCTAACTTAGCAACTACATCCATTAAGGTTTAATATGTGATAAAACAAACTTTTTTCTTAGCATCTAAATGTACTTCAATTCTTGCTAATGTATTGGCATCTTAGAAATAAAGTACACTATCTATCACTGTTTTTTAGTATTCAACCCCTTCATGATAAACTTACTTAGGGAAAAAATAGAAGGGATTATATTCAAGGAAACTTTAAGAGTATTGAAAATAAATTTTAATGTATTTCCCAACTTTGTAATAAAGTGAAGTTAAATCAATATTTTCAGTTTTCTAATATGGTGAATCATCTGATTCCTTATTGAGTTGATGGAAGGAATAGGAATAATAAAGATTGGAATTTGCTGTATACATATCAATTTCTTCATTTGATGCGCAATCTAGAATATTAAAATATTATACTATTCATATTGGTATTATTATAACATCTTTCAATTAATGCTCCCAATAAAGTAAAATTATCATAGCGATTTGATCCCTATATTCTTATTTAGGGATTCTCTTTGATATAATCATCACTCATACAATAAGTAATATTTTCATATGCTTCTGGGATATTTAATTTCTAAATTAATAATTCTTTTATTATTACTTTTGAAGCTTCACGAATTCTTTTACCACAAATTGTTCCCGGTATTACAATACATTCTGTATCATTTAATGATTTATTGCAGACATAAAATCCAATTTAAAATACTCTGTTGCCCTCATTTGGAATAGGTTGACCCAGAATATCAAGCAATCCTGCTGAAAATATAAGTTCAGTGGAATTGAAGCTGAAACCCTAAATAATAAAATAGACAAAAAATTACTTCATGATTTTGAATGACAGCATCTTAAGAGTTCAATATTGCATTTTTTCCTTTGTTCATTTCAAGAATAAATAAACTACCTGAATATATAAGTATGCTAAATAGTAATAAAGTCATAAATGCTCCAATCTGAGTTTAATAAAGAGACTAACCTGATGCTTTTAGTCTAATTTATTATCCAAAAATATCGAATCTTCGAAATGTTTTAGTAATCTACGTAATCATTCTATAAAAAATTATTATTTTATTAATAATTTGCTTAATATTTTATTCCTGTTAAATATTAAATTTGCTAGTATTATTACCTGACATAAATTGCTGGAATTTAAATATATAAATGAGATTAAATATAATAAACTAATTTTCATTTTTAATGAATGAAATGAAAGACTTTGGCTTTATATGGTTGTCTAAGGAACATTGAATTAATCAAAAAAAAATTAAATTAAACTTTATACTTTTTACCATATTTAATTTAATAATTTATATATTTAGTTAAAATTTTGCGAATAAATTAGAAATTATATTATTAACGATTTTAATTAAAATAATTATATTTTTATGAATAAAAATAATTATATTTTTATGAATTAATATACTACCTCTTACAATTTTTGAGATATTTATATTTAATAAAATTTCTTTTCTTTTAGAATTGATGCAACCTTCATTGCACATAAAGATTTTTTATTAAATATTTTTATATCTTTTATATGATAAATATATTTATAATCAAAGGATTATATCATTTCAGACATATGATTCATCAATTACATCCATAAAACATTGGTTTCTATGGCCTTTCTGGTTTTTTGAGTGCTTCTCTTATAAGTTTGAATAATTTTTTTATTTATTTAGATGAATCAAGAATAAAAGTTACTGCCAAAATTGAAGAAAAGGAAAAAATGTGCATCCATCCTAAAAGGATCACTTTTTCTGGTTTTAAATCTATTTCATTTTTGTATTGGTAAAGTAAAAATGATATTACATTCAAAATTATTAATACTTCAGTGATTAAAGTCTTAAAATATTCAAGTCGATCATCTAATGGTTTATTAAGAATAAAATGAATTAAAAATAATGATTATAGGAATGAAATGGCTATTACTTAAATATATGCATTGTCTTACAAAAATACAATACTAGATATAAAAATTAGTTTTTTGATTAGTAAAAGAGAATTATATTGAAATGTCCACATTTTATTGTTGTCTTTTATGCCATCAAATATAGCTTAATATTTGGATCTATTTCTCAAAGTGTTTTGTTTTGAAAAAGTACTTGAAATATTAATTATATATATGATAGCCACAATTACACCAACATAAACTAAAAATGATAAGTAATAATTTATGATTAATATAGTATTGCTGGTTTTTGGATAATATGCTAATTGAATGGCACATGCAAAACTTAAATCATATGAATTTGATAATAGTAATCTTAAAATAGCATTATAATAAAACTCAGATATTTTAAGTTATAGTGTTTTTCGAGTACTTATTACAAGTTTACCAATCTGAAAACCAAGTTTTTTAATTTCAATATGTCCAATTTTTTTGAGAAAATGATGCAAAATTTTTGCACTATAAAAACTTAGATATGTTGCTAGAAAGCAAAACAAAAAACTTTAAAAATTTATAAGGAAATATGCATTGATATCATCCTTCAAAAATTTGTATTTAGTTACTACTAAATAATTTTCACTTCCATCTAAAGCTGCGAATAATTTATCAATACCTATAGCTGACATCAAAGGAGAGATTGTTACAAACTTAAAAACTTCAAAATATATGTTAAGATTAGGAGAAAAATCAATGTTTATGTACTTTACATACGATAAATATTGTAATTAATCCATTAAATTCCAAAATATATCTGATTATCCTGTTAATAAACAAACAGAGGNTTTATGAATTAATATACTACCTCTTACAATTTTTGAGATATTTATATTTAATAAAATTTCTTTTCTTTTAGAATTGATGCAACCTTCATTGCACATAAAGATTTTTTATTAAATATTTTTATATCTTTTATATGATAAATATATTTATAATCAAAGGATTATATCATTTCAGACATATGATTCATCAATTACATCCATAAAACATTGGTTTCTATGGCCTTTCTGGTTTTTTGAGTGCTTCTCTTATAAGTTTGAATAATTTTTTTATTTATTTAGATGAATCAAGAATAAAAGTTACTGCCAAAATTGAAGAAAAGGAAAAAATGTGCATCCATCCTAAAAGGATCACTTTTTCTGGTTTTAAATCTATTTCATTTTTGTATTGGTAAAGTAAAAATGATATTACATTCAAAATTATTAATACTTCAGTGATTAAAGTCTTAAAATATTCAAGTCGATCATCTAATGGTTTATTAAGAATAAAATGAATTAAAAATAATGATTATAGGAATGAAATGGCTATTACTTAAATATATGCATTGTCTTACAAAAATACAATACTAGATATAAAAATTAGTTTTTTGATTAGTAAAAGAGAATTATATTGAAATGTCCACATTTTATTGTTGTCTTTTATGCCATCAAATATAGCTTAATATTTGGATCTATTTCTCAAAGTGTTTTGTTTTGAAAAAGTACTTGAAATATTAATTATATATATGATAGCCACAATTACACCAACATAAACTAAAAATGATAAGTAATAATTTATGATTAATATAGTATTGCTGGTTTTTGGATAATATGCTAATTGAATGGCACATGCAAAACTTAAATCATATGAATTTGATAATAGTAATCTTAAAATAGCATTATAATAAAACTCAGATATTTTAAGTTATAGTGTTTTTCGAGTACTTATTACAAGTTTACCAATCTGAAAACCAAGTTTTTTAATTTCAATATGTCCAATTTTTTTGAGAAAATGATGCAAAATTTTTGCACTATAAAAACTTAGATATGTTGCTAGAAAGCAAAACAAAAAACTTTAAAAATTTATAAGGAAATATGCATTGATATCATCCTTCAAAAATTTGTATTTAGTTACTACTAAATAATTTTCACTTCCATCTAAAGCTGCGAATAATTTATCAATACCTATAGCTGACATCAAAGGAGAGATTGTTACAAACTTAAAAACTTCAAAATATATGTTAAGATTAGGAGAAAAATCAATGTTTATGTACTTTACATACGATAAATATTGTAATTAATCCATTAAATTCCAAAATATATCTGATTATCCTGTTAATAAACAAACAGAGGATAGACTTGCAAGTGAAATTATGATTGCTTAATTAAAATCTGAAGCTTGTTCTGCTATTTATGCTTCTGTTTAGCCTAAAACAATAGGAGTAGCAAGTTCAATTTTCCCTTAACTTTTTGTAAGAGTTTAATTGTATTCTGATATAATTGGATCATTATGAAATTCTATTTAAAATACAGGATGTTCAATAGAGGATAGAAACAAAATTCTATATTAAAGAACTATATCAGTCAGTTCATTTTAAGAACTAGTAGTTCCTTTGGTCTACTAAATACTATAATTTTCTTATTCTAAATTAATTATACTAGCTGTTATATGATCATTTAAATCATTTTAAATCTTTGGGGAAATTTTAACTTGTTAATTGAATTAAATTTAAATATCAAATGTTTCCTGAGGATTAGGTGTTAAGACAGTAATAGTAAAATCAGGTTATTTTGAGATTAAACAAACAGAAATAAAATTTATATTAGTGATACATAGCCAATCTTTTTCAATTTTGCATTAGAAATCACAACCATCACCACTTTCTTTATTTCCATCATCACATTATTCAAATGGTTATAAATGAAATCCATCTCCACAAACTGGTTAACAAATTTAATTGATTTAATGCATTCCTTATAAGCATTCATTGCATATTCCTTCTTAACAATCAATACAATATTGATCACATTGAAATTTACATTCATAACAACCATCATTTTGAATAGAATTCATATCATCACATTATTCATTTCCAACTACAATTCCATCACCACATATAGAAGTACATTAATTATTTTTGATAATCCATCCAAGTTAATTACATTCAAAACAAACTCCTTATTGACATAATGTACAGAGTTATTCACATTAAAATTCACACTAATAACAACCATCATAAGGAATATCATTACCATCATCACATTATTCATATTCATCAATAGTGATTCCATCTCCACATTTAGTAGTACAAACATGATTTTAATTAAGTTCCCATCCATGATCAATACAACTATTACATATGCCTTTGACACAATCAACACATTATTCCTAACATTAGAATTTACATTCATAACATCCATCATAGGGAATGAGATTACCATCATCACATTCCTCCTTACCTAATACTAATTTATCGCCACAAATAGGATAGCATCTATTAATATAAAGCTACCAACCTTCAACATCACATTCTAAACAATCACTTATATTGCATAGTGTACATTATTATTAACAATTAAACTAGCATTCAACACAGCCATCATCATCTTCATTATTTCCATCATCACATTATTCATTTCCTTAAACTAACTAATCTCCACAAAAAGGATAACATTTCATATCAATTGAATTTAATTCCCAACCTGGAGAATAGCATTAAAAACATTAACCATCAACACACTTAATACATTATTCTTAACATTACAATTTACAATTATAGCACTCTTCTTCTAATCGTAAATCTCCATAATCACATTATTCATCATGTGCAACAATCCCATCTCCACAAATACTTTAACAAGTATTGTTAATTGTATCTAATTCATATCCAAGATAACATTATAAACATTGACCATAATTACAAATATGGCAATAATCATTACATTAAAATTTACATTAATGACAGCCATCATATGGAATATTGTTTGCATCATCACATTATTCATCATTTGATAAATATCCATCTCCACAAAATGATTAACAATAATTATTAATTTAATCAAGTTATTTTGATTCTTAAATGCATCTTAAGCATAATCCTTTATAACAATATTCACAATCTTCAGGACAATCAAATTAACCATTAAAACAACCATCTAATCCTTAAAAATTCATATCATCGCATTACTCATTTCCAACACTATATCCATCATTCAAAATCTCATAACATTGATCATCAATAATCCAATATCCTTGTTCACATTAGATACAATTTCCAAATTAACAGTTTAAACATGATTGTTAACATTAAAAATATGAAAGATAACAACCATCATTCATTATAAAATTATAGTCATCACATTGCTCATTTCCAACTACAAAAGAATCTCCAGATGTAGGATAACATTTCTTCTCAAAATCAAGTTACCATCCTTTTTAACACTTTAAACAATTACCTTTATGACATATCAAACAAGAATCTTAACAAATATATTTACATTGATAGCAGTTCTGATTTATCAAATCATCACATTCTTCAACATTTTATATAATTATACCATCTCCACAAATGGGTTCACATTTATATTATTATTCATTTAATTTCCATCCTTAATTATTACATTCTTAACATCCATTTAAAGTACATAAAGTACAAGATGATTGACAGCTAATTTAACAAGAATAACAGCCATCATATTAAAGATTATTATTATCCTCACAAATAATATTAATATCCTTAACTAAAGTTCCATTATCACATACTTAAATGCATTTTTAAATTGATGATAATAATTAATATCCATCTATGCAAACACTACACAAACCTTTATTACATTCTAAACAATTTTATTCACATACATATTAACATTAATTACAAAGTCTAGTAAGATTAGTATTATTATCACATTCTTCAACTTCATGAACTGTTATATTGTCTCCACAAACACTTTAACAAGTTCCATTTGATTGTAAATACCATCCATTTAATTCATCACATTGTTGACAGATTCCAAATTAGCAATCTATGCAATATATAGAACATTAAAATTTGCAATTAAAGCATCCATCATATTATGTTATATTTCCATCTTCACATTATTCAGGATATACTAGAATTTAATCTTAACATTTAGCAAAACATCTATTCTCAATTAATTAATAACCATTTTAACAAGATAGACACTCTGATTTAATACAAGTAAGACAATAAGTATCGCATTAAAATTCACAAAAATTACATCCATCAAATGGAATAGAATTACCATCATCACATCTTTCAGTTAAATTAACTATTATTCCATCACCACAAATAGAATTGCATGTTCCATCCATTTGAGCATACCATCCAGCATTTTCATTACATTATAGACATATTCCAAAATGGCAATCAATACAATTAATTGAGCATTCATATTAACAATTCACACAATTTCTAGTATTCTCATTGCATTATTATAACAAAGTAAGAGATTTGTTTTAACAAATAGAACGACAGTCACCGCTATATAATTCATATCCACTTTTACATGCATAACATCTTCCATTAAAGCAAATATCACATGCAAAGTTACAAGCAAATTTACAATTATGACAACCATCAAATGGATTATAATTACCATCATCACAATCTTCTTAATCTACTACAATTTAATCTCCACATATCGGAAGACAGGGCAGATTAATTCCATCATCATAATATCCAGGTTAACATAAACATTAATTTTTTGAAATAGCTCTATGATAATCTTCAACACAAGTAAGACAATTATACTTGGAATTTCCATAACAATTTTCACAATACTTATTACATTAAACACAAGTATTCACTTAATAAAATGTAAATGGTTTGCATAAACAAATTCCATTTTATAAATAAAATTGAGTATTCAAACATTAAGTGCATATTTCAGCACTTGTACAAGTACTACATCCAGGTTGATTACAATCTTTACAACTATAAGTTTCAGTTGTTGAATTAAAATACAAATATTAAGTTACTCCACAATTTGAAGTAGTGCCTGTACATACATTCAAACTTGTGCAACTTGAACAAAATGGACGACACTATATTATAATAAAATATTACATAATGAACAACAATGAAATATTCAGATATTGCACAAAACTCTTTTGTTATGTTAGCTGTACCAACATCACATTTAAATTCAATATATAAATTATTATTCTAAAAGTTAGGTAAACTCTAATTAAAAAAAACTGTTTTCTCTTTAAATGTACGACCAACCAAATTTGATCCTCCTCCAGGATAATTAAAAGGTCCTTAAAATGTATCACTAGAAGAACCAATTTTATATGTAAATTAACCAGAATATTCATCTCCGTAAGTAATATTAAAATAAACTGTCACAGCATAATGAGGATCTGATATTGTCCATGTCTTTTTATATGATCCATCATTCCAGACTAAAATTCCACCCAATACTATTTTTTTATTTAAAAAAGAAAATTTTTATCCAGTAGCATAATTTTTAGATGAATCAGTTGCATCATCATAAAAAGTATCTATATCATCTATTGTCATATTCAAATCGTAAAATCCTTTTACTAGGTATCTAGAATCTAAAATTTATTAATAATTTATACATGGAATAAGATCTTCATAATCAACACAATTAGTTGAATATACAGGACATGTTTAAACACACATATTTTTATATAGTTTATATCCAGTAATACATTATGAACATTTAGAAAAGTCAGAACAAACTAAACAATTTTCTTAACAAAATCCTGTGTCTACTGTTATATTTCTAAGTCCCCAAGATTCATAATCAAATTATAATTGACCTTAAATGGTAAGTACTGGTTTAGTATCATAGAGTTAAAAAATCATTTCAATTCTTATTAGAGTATAACTATCTATACAATTTCCATTTTCTTAAAATATTGGTATCAAATTTTCAAATTAGAAATTTGATGAATCTTTTATTATTCTAGATTATTATTAACCATTATATAAGATTTCAATTTTGCTTTGATCTTAAAAATCAAAAAAATAAAATGTCATTCGAATTCTTAAAAATTTTGCTACATTTTCTAAACTCATTTAATAAATCATTCCTTCACTAAATTAAAATTTCCCTATGAAGCTAATCCCATTACAATTTTCATAAATTAAATCTGTGTTTTTTGTATGAAATTTATCTTCTTGAAATACAAGAGGTGAATATCTGTAATAATTTGATTATGGTATATTATTATTTTCAAACAGGGTAAATTTTGATTTTATTCTTTTGTCTTCTACACAAATTTTATCATAACGAGCTATTGAATTATCTCTTTCACATTCTTATCGACAACCTAAATAAGTTTCAGAAAATTATTAATTCGAGATACATTTGCATTTACCTCCTGATAAACTTTAAGCATTAAAACATGTTAAACAATTAGTTTCCAATGGACCATTGCATGTTAAACAAGTTGGATGGCAAGTGTTAGCAAAGATTAAAATATTTCTAATTCCTAATCTCATGTAATCCTTTTCAGGATCAACACATATTTTTATTGTAAAACTATTAGTATTTGAATTTCCAATAGTACTTACAATAGTTTTCAATTCAAATCTACTTGAACTTGAAGTGTCATTACAAATTCGAATACTATTTTAAGTTAGATCATCATCTTTATAATCTCTTTTATAAAGTTATTATTCATTTTCTGATGCTATATTGCTATCATACAAAACTTTTATCCATGAATTTTTATTATCATCTGCAAAACCAAAAAAGACATCAAGAATTACTTAAACTTAATAGCTCTTATAGTTAAATGATTTTAATAACAATCTCCTACTTTTCTTCAAACTAACATAAGACAATTAATTTTATCCACATGCTTCTTATTAAAATGAAGAGTCAGAAGAACTGTCACAATCATCTCTCATTTTCCAATTGTTTTCATATATATCATCCTCTGTAAAACTGTAATCTACAAGTCTCCAATTTGAAACAACTTGGTTAATAAGAAAAATCAAGAGAATGCAAGATTTTAAATACAAAAACATTAAATGATGGTTAATCTAAAAAAAAAATATATATATACTTTGAAGTTACGTAATCAAAAAAAATAAATCATATAAAAAATACTCATTCATTATTCTTTTATTTGATTAACAAATATTAGATATAGAAAATATTTATTTAATCAAACTTATATTAAATAACCAATTCTTCATATATCAGATGTTAATTTTTCATAAACATTATTTCTAATTATAAACTCATTAATGCAACATAAATTATTATAGATTATATCAAAATTCATAAATAATTTTCAATATCTTTTAATCAAGATTAAGTATTTTTAGACAAAATCCATTTATTCTTATTAGTTATTTAGTTCTATTTTTAGAATTAACTATATTAAACTAAACATCGAATCTTTGAAAACTAAAAATAATAAATAAGAAGATAAATAATAACAATATATTATTGAATAGAAAATCTCATTTTTTAAGCATTTTTTGATATATTTAAAATTTGTAAAATATAAATAAGCAAACTGTTTTTGTTTAATAAATCTTTATGACATTTATTATTAATTATTAAGCAAACTCATTTTAATATATAAATATCAAAATTTATTTTTCTTAATATTTATATAAAAAATTTCTACATCGCAGGATTGAACTTAAAAAATATTAGGAATTTATCAAAAATCTATAGATATTTTTGAGAAAGCATCTTTCTACTGTTTCAATCTCTGCCTTTTATATTGCAAATTTGTTTTAATATTGAGTGTAAAATCTTTCTTTGCATTTAGAAATATAAAAATAGCAAAAAAGTTAATATTATATTTTTGATTAAATACTAAATCAGTTAAACTACAATTTGCTTTGAATTACAATACAAAAACAATAATTTTCTTGAGGTTTTGATCTTAATTTTTTTATTAATAATAGATAGCTAGTGTCTGGTGAAGATTTTTCTTTATTAAGAGAGATTCTGTTTTGTTTTTGTAAGTTTACACTACCTTAAATAATTTACTATTCATTAAATAATAGAAGATAATATCATTTGCGTCATCACATATCAGACTATTTAAAGCCCTTTTTAAATATCTTATTGAATTTATAATGAAAAATTTTTCTATCACTCATTTATACTATTATAAAATTCATAAAATTACTCAGATTTTCAAATATAGAAATTGTAAAACTAGTCAATAAAGACAATTTTTTATTTTTGATAGTTTAGTTTCTTATCAAAGTAGTCTAATTTGTCATATTATTAATGGTATTTTTTTATAAGCATTAATTACTATAATTATTAAAAATTCAATATATTGTTGTCCTAAGCCTGATATTAGTTATTATTAGATAATATTCACAATGATTTACCTAAATTTTGAAAATCAAATGATTTAAGAAATAAATGACAATAATACATTCTCCTAAAAAAATACATTAATATAAGATATTAATATTAATGCAATCTAAAGTCAGCCATATCATAAGAATTAAGCAAACATTTTCACATCCAATATTTTCTTAATTCCTAATTATTAATATTCAGATTTCAAAGGAAAATATGTTTTCCTCTATCACTTAATAATTTACATCAATATTCCTATAAATTTCTTTATATATATATCAAAAGTATTATAATGTACTTATTATTAATTAATATTATTATAATGAAATTTGTTTGGCTTCAAATATTATTAGCTATTTCCTTGATTGTTTGTCAAAGCTAAGTTTGTAAAGTAAAATGATATTTAACATAGCTACAATAAAATTATCAAAATCTCTTACAAATGAATGAGAAAGAAACCTATCTCTTATACCTGTAAGATTATTTTTATGGGGATGGACTAACATACAGTTTAAATGATAATACACACTACTTTTAACCCAATATTCCTGAAAATTTAGGTGGCATTAAAGGAGAAGCCATAAGTTTAGTAGTAAAACCTAAGAAAGTTGCTTAATAAAAGGAATTTTTATTATTATTAAACGTAAATGAAGAAAATTAAGCTACCTATGAAATTCATAGTTTAAAGAATTTTTCTAAAAAAAACAAATTTTCTGCAAGTGTGTTTATTGCTAGATTTAATTCTGATCATTGTTATACTATGAATTAGATTGATGATTTTTTTATAATCACATGTTTAGATTTTGGATAGTAATAAATAACTTACTTAACTTTTAATTCTGATTATCATCTAATTAAGACCTTTGATGTTAATATAGATTATGCATAAAAAGAGTCTAAAATAATTACAAAATCATCTGGAAAATATTTATGCACATTAATAAACAATGGAGAGTATTAAGAAGGTGAATATGTCTCACATAATTCAAACTTAATCATTTTTTAGTTAGAGAAGACATAAAATTTTGAAGATTCAAAAATATTAATAAATTTAGTTTAATTAAAGTAAATCCAGATTTCAAATGACTTTATAACAGGTTTTGATATTGTAAAAGAAGGATATCGTAAATATTATTTATAATTTAGTCTTTATTACATATTTTAATTAGGGAATTTACATACATCTTTTAAATTAAGAAAAATAGTATTAATTAGATATTTCATTAAAATAAAGAATTCTAGGTATAAGTGCTCAAAAAATATCATATGGATTTTATGAATATAATATTGTATGTTGGGATGAATAGAAGTTATCTAATTTTTTGTATGATCCATCTAAAAATAAAATTGTAATGAATTAAAATTATTAAGATTTCAAAAGAGAAACTAATATAAACTACTCAAATAAATTTATTACTTAATTTTGTTACTAATGTCTTTATCAATGAAAAGTATATAGTAGTATCAAATCTTAATGGTATAAGCATATATCCAACAATTATAAATGATGTTAATTAAGGCAGATTATTGTACTATTATAAATCGAAATCAAAAATAAGTTACTTCATAAATATTATAGATTATTTAATTTCTATTGAGGAACAATCATTAATTTTATATATGATTAATGATCCAATAATTAAATTAAAAAATATAGAAGTTAAAAAAACTTCCTAGATCTTTTAAATTAGAGCAATATCAAACTAATTTGATAAACCTTAAGTAGAATGCCCAACTGTTATTCTATATTTTTAAGTTTAAAATGAATAATTTTCGAAAAATTCAACAGAATAATATTATGATATTCCTTACGAGGTTTCCTAAACGAATTTTTTTAGGGGATCGTATTAAAATGATGATTAACATCCTAGTAATATAAAAATAAATGTTAAGTGTGATAAATTATAGCAAATTAAATAAAATTAAATTATCATAAGAAACTAATTGGAGATTCAACCTAAATTAAAAAATTTATTAAATCTTGATATTAAAATTGATAAAATTTCTTCAGAATATACGACTAAGGAAAACAATTATTATCTAAGTGATGTGGCTTATTTAAAATAATAATTACTTTATCAATATGATGATAATTATAGATTTAAAGAGAAATTTTATCTTCTTACTTAATAATACTTTAAAATTTAATTAATAGAATGTCTTGTAGAAGATTTCAAAAATTGTGTAATTTTGCATACTCAAAATATAGAAGTTTCAAATAGAATAGAATAGTTTATATTTAATATTCATAATGATTAAGTTTATTTAGGTTTTGATTAAGTATTTGGATGGATAGGTTATGATAATTTAGATTAATTCAATATTAAGGTTTCAAATGTAGTGATATTTAGTTATAAATTGAATGAAAAGAATCGTATTGTTAAAAAATATTAGATTTCCCATTTTTAACATAAGGTCTTATAATTAGAAATCATAGATGATAGAATATATATGCTATATGAAATCAAAAAATAGACTTATATTTTTACTTCTAAAATTAGTGAGATCTATGAAACTATGGATATTCTTGAATTAAGTCACAAAGTAGATTTTTGCAGAGTTTTTTCTTTTAATATAGAATTTTATGGATATTTTTTATATTATTTTACAATTAATTTAGATGAATAGATTAATTACTTGAATATAGTTAATATTGAAGATGGGAAATTTGAATTAATAAATAAGATTATATTTAAAAATTATTAATAATCCATAAAAATGCTTGCTCATTATTGTTGTTTCACAAAAAATGGTGTTTATATTTCTATTGCATAAGAATCGGTTTTATATTTTACTAGATACGATTTTTTTAAAATGGTATTTACTTAATCTAGTGAAAAAAGTTATCAAAATTTTATAAACAACTAGATAAAATTACCAGTCAAATTTGATTAAGCAAATGATGAAGATTAGAGTATTACTTATACCTCTAGCGAAAAATAATATTATATATTATAAAGAGATTATGTAGGTAATTATAACATTTATATTTACAATATGAAATCTACAATTCTTAATTGTATACATTATGTTATATCTGAAGAGATTTTTGAATTTCGTAGGAGAACAATTAGTTCGTTAAAATATGATATTTTTTCACTTAATAAGCTAGAAAATGGCATTTGGAAGTTGCAAAGTTCATAAATTTAATACATAAAACGTGAACCTTTGATTACTATTAATTGCTTATAAACTAAGGTAATAAGAAACCACAGATCTATCAAAATTCCATTTGTGATATAAACAGAAAATCTGAAACCTGAATAATATCCAATATATAATTTGATAATAGATCTTGAATTTGATGATGAAGACTAAACAAACAATCAAGAAAGTTAAATAGATTCTACTTTGAGAAAAATATTTGATATGATAAACTAGAAATTAGATTGAATCTATCTTTATCAAATTCAGTACATTTTTATATTTTTAAAAAGATATATATTTTATTATAAATTTATATAATAATAATACAATTCATTAATATAATATTTCATAAGTTTCATATTTGCTATTCTTGCCTCCCCAATATGTTAAATATTATCCATTACTTGTTATTGCTCCATAACAACCTTAATTTTAAATATCCAATTCTTAAATAATTATCAATTTGCCATCATCTTGTACTTTAAGTATACAAATATGGAATACATGTCTTAAACATATAAGATTTTTATCTTTATTATAAATAATAGGGAAGAATGCCCAATTTATTAATCCTTTATTATCTTTTTTAAATTAAACTCTCTTCTCTTTATTCTCTTAATAAACACCATTTGTATATTCAAATACACAAACATAATTACTCTTATATGCTACCCAAATGAATTAATTTTCTTTTAAAAACTTAACATGCCTTCCTTATTCTTATATAGTATTAATAACAACCTACTAACACTCCCACTAATCATTAATACTTTTTTGCCAAATTATGATTGTCCCATCATACCCACAAGAAACTAATACATTTCCTGATTAATTTAAACTTAATGACACAATAGGAGTAGTATGTTTTTCTAAAGAATAGAGAAATTACAATTCATTATTATTATAATCTACCCTCCATACTTTAATTGATGTATCAGTACTACCAGAAACTAGCTAATCTTCTTTTTCTGTTATGATCATACAATAGATAAAATCTTAATGTTCATAGCATGGTTTAGAACTTTACCATTTATTAATACCATCTAATTATTTCCATAATCTAATTGAATTATCACGAGATCCAGAAAAAAAACAATTTTTAAACTTACTATATATTAAACTATAAACAGCCCCTTAATGTCCTTGAAGTGTATCTGTTAATGTGATTTATCCATGATCAAAATTCCATATTTTAATCTCATTATCACTTGTTGAAACCATTATTTTTCCTGTTGGATCAAATGCAATAGCTCTGCATTTTTCTTTTTATTCTTTAGAATCATTAATAAATTCTAATTATTTTGGACTTAATTAAAATTATTATTGAATTAACTTTTAAGATTCTTCTATTCTATTCAATATTTCAATACAATTTTGATACTATGGAAATGTTGTGAATGATGTTAACCAAAATTTACTTTTATTGCTCCTGGCATTGTTTAATGATGTAATCTAATTAGATAAATCTAACTTATCATTTTTATTTGAATATTAATTTAGTATTATTGAATCTAATTCTTTGAATAAGCTATATTTTGAGTATTATAAAACTATAGATTATAAGTTATCTATCCAATCCTTTATATTTCTTAGTAATTGATCTAATTATAAAACTAGTTAAGACTTCAAGTTGATGATTTGATTTTTTAATGATTCAACATTAATGATTTCTATATTAATCATATTTTCTAAGAATTCTTAAAATTCTTACCGATTTTTTTCAATCATTTCAATAGCTTTCTAAAATCCAATAGAGTTTGATTTCTGTTTCATAAATGCAATGCATTCTTAACACAAAAGCTTTTAATTTAATTTTAAACTAGGATCTAAATCTATCATTAAAACAGGTTATGAATGGTTATTTTAACAAAAAAGATCTTTTTCATTTTCTATCATTCTTTGTTTTTACATTATAATAAAATTGAAATTTGAATGAAATTATCTAATTTTTACAAAATTATGATACTATTTGTTATGAAAAAACAACTAATGAGTGAGTTCAACAATCTTATTAAATATAATTTAAGTTGTACATAAAATAAAATATTCATATAAATAAATTGAATCTATTTATATTTAGTTTTTAGAACTCTATTTGAACTAAATATTAACTCATTTTTTATAAGCTAAAATGAATAAATTAAAATTTTCATTAGTTAGAGCTAGATATGAATTGAAAATTAATCAAATTTGATTAAAAATGTGTTACATAATATACAATAATACTATCAATATAATAAATTAAATTCCAATTATAATTAAAAAGTCATTGATTTCATTTAATAACCAAAAATAATGAAGTTCTATTATATGATCTTTAAGAAAATTGAATTTTTGGTTCCATAATTAATAATACAATACCTTAAAATACATTCCATAATTTATAATGCACAATTTATATTTTGAATTCTAATTAAAATGAGATTTTATTGTTTTTATATATATTCAAAAATATAAATAATAATGTCAACTAAGTCATAGTTAACTTTTCAAATACTTATAATTGGATCTGCTGCGTAATTTTATTTAATTATTTTTACACAGTGTTGGCAAAACAGCTATAGTAAAACAATATATTGATTCTAATATTAATAATATAGAAATAACAATAGGAAGTGAATGGAATAAAAAGGATATAATTATTAATAAAAAAATGGTGACACTTTCAGTAAAAATTGATATAAACTTTAGTTATGGGAATTAAATAGTTTTGCAAGATAACATGTAATTTTCTAGAAAGTAGATTGCTGCATCATAGTTTTTAATATTAATGATATTGAGCCAACAAAAACTTTGGATTTATGGAAAAACATATATTAATAATAGCGCATATAAGAAGATCCAGAAAATAGTATTATTTTCATCATCTAAAATGATTTTGTTGAGAATAATGAAATAATCAAGAGTCATCTTGTTGAATAGTGGTGTAAATAAAATAGAATTAAATAATTGTTTAAAATATCTGCCAATGACAATCTGATTGTTAATGAAACATTCTTTGAGATTACAAAGATTTTATTAAGAGAGAAGTAAAATTTTATAAACAAGAGTAACAAAGCAATTAATCAAAAAGATGATTTTTTGAATGTAAAATCATTTGAAAATATGATGGTGAAATAATAATTAAAATGCAATATGTAAGAAACAATTGATTCTCTTAAATGTTATAATCAACATGATAGCCCACCAATCATAGTACTACTTGATGATAATCTTAAAGGAGTCTAAAGATTAATTTGTTCTTAATGCATAATTGATATCAGAGGACGTTTTAATGGAATTAATATTGATGAAGCAATTTTCTAAATAGAAGACCGTAAAAATAATTTTCTTAATGAAATATCAGATTTTAACCAAAAAATTCTAAACATTTTAAATTCTTTCAAAGATTAAATTCTGTAAAATAGAAATGAAATTATCTAAACTATGGATTAAATGATAAATTAAGTAGATAATTGGATAGGTGATATATAATAATTTGAGTAGAAGTAATGCTCTTACAAGTTTTTAGATGAAATAGATAAATTAAATCACTTTGTTGAACAAGTAAAAAATGATTAAATTAATGAATTTAAAAATGTTATATTCACCATTAACTAGGCCTATGAAAAAAAAATCTAACTTTCAAAACTTATATTACGTGAGTAATTTCTTTAGGCTTAAAATAATTTAAGATTACATTCATCTAATGTTTCATTTAAGCGATTGAATTCAGAAGTAACAAAAGATGATGTAGAAACAAAAACATATAACTAGATATAATACTAATTAGTTTAAGAAGTTAAATAAAAAGATTGGTGCCATGCATTAGCATTCAATTATGATGAATCCATAATGGCAGGGAGTATTGGTAAAAGCATTAAACTATGGAAATTTTAATAAGGATAATTGTAGGATAATAATATAGTCTTAGATGGTCATGAAAAGCTGATTAAATGTATTGTATTCAGTAAAAAAAATAATTGGTTTTTCACTGGAAGTGAAGATAACACGATTAGAAGTTGGAAAGAAAAATAGGGTTGGTTTTCTTCTAGTAAATGGGAGAGTGTTAAAGCTAATAAAGCACATTAAGACTGGGTAATTTAATTAATATTAAATGAATAAAATAATGAATTGATATCATGTAGTGTAGATAAGACCATTAAAATATGGAGAGTTTCTTATGATTCAAATTCAATTAAATTTTTAGAGTCTCTTGAAATACATTAAGAATAAATATTATCAATTAGTTTAAATTAATCTTAATAATAATTAATTTCTTGGGGAGAAGACAAATAGGTAATTTTATGGGAAAAGAATTAATAATAAAAATGGTAATTTAAAAATAAGATCTTATTATCAATCCAAGAAATAAATAGAGGTGCTAGATTTCTTATGGATAATTAAATTATATGTAAAACATCAAAAGGATAAATAGAAAACTATATTTTAGAAAAAGATAAATATCAACAAAAGCAAGTATTGGATTTTAATGTTGAAAATCCAGATTTTAATCCATAAGAATGTTAAATTATTTTTAATATTTAAACATAATTAATAGTAATGAAACATCATAAATATTTTTATTTTTTTAGAAATAATTTGGATGAATGTAAATTTGAATAAGTTTGCAAACCTTTGGAATGTCAAAAAGAAGTTTGTTTTTTTAATATTACAAATGATGGTAAATACTTAGTTTTGTGGATTTGGTATCCTGTATTAAGATTTAAAATATATGAATTGATTTATAGTAATTAGTATTGATGATAATAAAATGATATTTTTATTTAAATATTTATCATAAGCTTTCCCAAATAGAAATAAAAACTTAAAAGTTTTAATAATAAATAAGTCTAAGTTAAAAGCTTTCATTTCTATATTAATTATAAATTGATTTATTCTATATTGTAAAAGAGAGATGAATTTAGAAATTTATTCATTTGTGAATTCAATATTTATAACATCAACTAATCTATAATAAATTTAGAGAGTATAATTATTCAGATGAATGTTTTTACAAATAATTAATAAAATTATGATTCCATAATTAATTAAATATTAAGAATGGATACGTATTTCAACACTTAATTTTCAATTAATTATAAAATCCTAATCTATTTGTATCTTATTAAATATTAATATTTACATCTATTATACTTTGATTCAAAAATATAATTTCTAGATTTTTGAATATGAATCTAAAATAAAAGAATTAATACTTTACAAACTATAATTTTATAATTGGCCATAATCTAATCAACTCATGTTTATTTTAATCTATTATTAAATATATAAAGTAGACTGTTTAAAATAAATTATAACTTTTTCATTTCGATTTCAACACCATATATAATAATATTGTTCAATTAAATCCAGGATTAAAAAAAAGTATGCAAAATTTGGATTATATGAGGGAAAATCCACTTTGAATTTAATTATTTCTATTAGCAAGGATTATTTCTTTCAGTTAATTTAGATTGCTATTTAACAAGAACACCGAGATAACTCTAAAATACTTAGTCATTGCCTAATAGTTTATTTACACTTATACACAAGAAACTTTAGACATTTGGGATATTTAACAACATTATTTTTCCTAATTATTAGATTCATTTATCATATTATTAAGAGTATTGATCACTTGGGATTATAATCAAAGATATATACACATATGGTCTCTATCTAAATGATTTGATAAGATATTGTTTATAATATATAAGTAGATTTATATTTAATATATAAGTAATAATTTTAATCATAAAATACAAAATATAATATCTTATTCATCTTTTATTAGATTCATATTCTTCAACATTATTAAAAAATACTTTTTCAACACCTATTCTACTTGATTTTGTACTTAAAATTCTTGAACTTTGTGGAGATATTATTTATCTATAAATAATATTTTGTTAATATTTACCTTGAATTTCTCAATTATACTTTTGATAAAAAGATTAAATGGTTCTTCAATTTGGCAATGTTATACTTAAGTTTGTTTTATCTTAATTTTTCTTTTTCCAAAAACTTACCTAAAATTATTGCGAAATAGAAATTAGGTACTTTCAAATTAAGAAAGAAATGTAATTTATTTAAATAAAAGAATTGATACTTTTTAAAATAGTTTCTTGCAATTCCAAAAACAAAAGGGTAACAAAGTTTGATAAAGCATCCAATAATAAAAATTTGAATCAGAATAGAAGGGAATATATAATTTTTCTATTCACAAATACTTTTAGTAAGTGCTAAAAATATAGAAATTGAGCAAATTTGAGCTGTTTATAAATCTAAAGAATTATATTTTTAAATAGTAAATGGTTTATTGAAAATTGCCAATATTTAATATATTAATAAACCCAATCCTAATAATGATGCTTTTAAAACAATTTCAGTTTCAAAATTTGTCATAATAAAAATAATAATTGATTTTTTAAATAATTTGATTAATTCCCAATAATATCTTTCTTATTTATATTCATTTAATAAATAACAAATATGTTTCCTTAGTTTAATTTTATCTAACTTATTTTTGTTTAACATCAATAGAATATAAATAAAAATAGGAATAAATATACCAATTATAAATATACCAGGAATAATAAAATAATACATCCACTTTTAATGAATTTATGAACCATATTATAAGGAAACATCTCCCTAAATGTAATTGTGATTTGATACTTCTCGTTTCGAAAGCGCAGATGAAAACCTTTTCATTTTAAATATTATACATTTTAATCAATCCTGCGTAATTAAATACATACAAATAAAGTGCAGTGTTTGAAAAGATACTTATATCATGCTTTTGTTTTGTTATTAAAGTATGTAAATATGCTCCTGCAATAACTAGATTAAATAGTATAATCATTAATATTAACATTGTGAATATTTTTAAATATAAAATATGAACACTTTAAATAGAAGATATATAACAGTCTAAATCCTTAGCTATGAAATATGAAGTATCACTTGTTTATTCAATAAAAAAAAGAGAAAATGAAAATCTTATATTAAATGTAAAAATGACTGAATAAATCCACAAATAATTGATCAACATTTTTAATTATATACTTTATTAATCTAATTTTAAATTTATTAAATATTATTTACCTTAATTTAATTTAAATAATATTTTGCTAAATCTTTAAGCAATTATTAGTTATGAATATAATTAATTAGATTTAGAGATACTTCTTAATGACATTGATATAGATATAAAAGTCCTATTATTAATATAAAACAATATACCAAAGATTTATTAGCATAAATGAAAATATACTGCTCCAATCAAATTAACATTTTCTACAATTTTAATCCCATTAGTTTTTATAAAAATTACCTTATCCTCTTATGTTATACATATCACACTCTTCACATAAAGCACCTATATGTCCAAAACTACATATCTAATCACCAACCTACCATCCTCCAATACAAAATAATGGATTTTTGAAACAAGGTTCTACATAATCAGAAAAATTATTGGGTCTCCAAAATCCTGGAAGTAATTTAATCATATTTGAAGTAATATCAGAGTACTTACTTTTATCAAATATAGAACATTTTGTTGCATTGTATGTAACTGAATAATAACCTTAATTATACTAACATATTTAACATCCATTATTAACATAAAATTCACCAAGTTAACATTTCAGACTCTTTGTGTATATTCTATATTTTAAAGTATTATTTGATTCTATTAATTAACAACTTATATCAATTTATAAATAATTGAACTCTTATTTATATGGATCTAAACTAAATGATAGTGATCCAAAATCAAAAGAATTTGTTAAAACATTATAAATTAAAATCTGACTAACTTTATTGTCTACTATAACTTATTTGTCTTTTGTTATTATTTTATTCTAAACTTTGCAAGATGAATTGATATACTTATGCATTTCTTCATTTCTACTGTTTTTATAAGATAAAAAAATATCTTATATAAAAGGTATATATTTTGATTAATGAATGTCAAAAATTTTAAATGTTTTTATAACCTAATTACTTGGAATTAATAAATCTTTCATAAAAATTTAAGTACCTTATTCAATCATTCTGTAAGTTTTTAAATGTAATATATTTATTTACTAATTGTTTATATTAACAAATTGTGAAGGATTCTCCATATAATTAATGTAAAAAGCTAAATGAGTTGGAATCTCTATGATATTATTCCCATATTCTTAAGCAGTATTGAAAAGTAATAAGGATGATACAAAATTATTATTATTTAAATTGCTATTACCATCTAAATATATACCACCTCCTATTCTAGCTATATTTCCTATGATGATTGTTCTATTAACAATAAAACCAGAAGATTCAAGTTACATATATAAACCTCCTCCCAAATCTTTAGCATTATTATTAATTATTTTGCATTATTTAATTTTTAGACTCACTTTTTATGAAAATATTCCAACGCCTTGAGTACCATTATTAAATAGGAAATTAGAATTTTCAATTAAGACTTTTTATTTAATATATGTATTGGATGAGAAATGTAAGCATCCAAACATTTTGATTTAATTATAATTGCAATTGAATTTTTCAAATTTAATAAATTTAAAATCTGATAATTCAAAAAAGATTAGACCTTTTTAACATTATTAGCAATCATTTTTTTCAAATGTAACATCTCTAAAATAGAAACCATTCAAATTAGAAATACTTTATATATAAATGAGTGAACTTTCTTTATCATTATTTTATTGAAAAGAACTAACAATAGTCTAAATATAATCTCTTTAATATTTTTCAATATATTATTAAACTATTTTACATCCTCTTATGTTATAAGATTGTTATTAATAAGTTGATTATTAAATCAAATTATTTTAATAAAGTGAAATATTTTTTATACTTAGATTATCAATTACAATAATTGATTATAATTATTAAAGTTAAATTACTTAAATTAGATTGAATTAATATAATACTTATATTTTATCTAATTTAATATTATATAGTTATAATTTGGGTATATTTGCAAATTGAAAGACAGAATTAATAATGAGCCCTTCTATGAAAAATTCCTGAATCAAGATAATACAATTTTGAAATGAAATTAAAGAATTTTAATTATTTATAGTATCTGTTATTTCTTAAATGTATAAATCTCTAATTTTAGCAAAATAATCTATCCATACTTAATAATTTTAAATTATTTTCATATTTTTAATTGTAATTATATTTTTATTAGCTATTAATGATGAAAATTATACATTCATTATTTAATTGACTAATGAAAGGCAATTCTATATATAAATATCTTATAATAAAATAATATTAGATTATTTTGAAGGTATAATAGTGAATATAGAAGAAGCCATCCTATTTAAAATATTTGATAAAAAAGCATTTAATAATCTAAGATTTAATTTACTGTTTGATGAATAAATGCTAAAACATCCTGTGCCTTTTTCAGTTGATAATAGATTATTTTATACTTGATTTATTGTAATATTTTATAAATCTATATAACCTTCTTCTGTTGTTGTAATCTCAAAAATTAAGCTTTACATAGCAAGAATTTTAGAAAATGTACAATTAAAACAAGATAAATTTTAAACTAAAAACTATCCTACACCTCCAGTATTCTTTATCTATAAAATTTAGAAAACGATTTCATTTAAATTGTCTTAATTAAGATTTTCATTGAATTAAAGTTCATAATATTTAACCCACAATTATTATGATAAAAAGTTATGGTTACATATTGTAAAATTAGATAGGATTAAATTAAATGACATTACTGTAATAAATGAATTTGTAGAATTTGTGAGTGCATTATTCTTACTAAGAAAATTCTATACTTTTAGTTAACTTAATGAAGACTAAATGTATAATAAACTAATAGTTGTCCTTATTGCACTACTAGAATATGAATGTAAAAAGTTTTCTTCATATTTGATATTTTCTAGTATTATGTTTACTCTATTATCTTATTCAATTATTAATAAAGAGATGTAATTATTTAAAGTTGATTAGATGAGAATATTTTCAGCAAATGTAAGATTAATAATCTCTATCTAATTCATATCATATGATAAATTTTAGTAACTTGGATTAATCTATATTATAGGTTCATCAACACTGATAATTTTTAAGATATATACATTCTCAATATAAATATTAGTAAATCCAAAAACTTAAAGTAATTTGTTTTTTTTATTTGTTGTTAAACAAGGTTGTGATAAAGGAATTTTAAAATTTTGAATAGAGTGTTAATATATAATATTTACAATAGTTATATTCTTATTTTCAGACAATTAAAATATTATTAGATCATCATTATCATTAATTAAGAAATTTGATATATGAATTTCTTTACTATTCATGCAAAACAATTGACTTTTACCATTATCATTAGAATATTTGCTATTATTATTAATTGAAAAGCGTGAAAATTTAATTATAAGAAAATTAGTTGATAAGGTTGAAAATATCAAAATTAAACTTGATGTCTAAAATTGATTTTGCTTAGCTTCAAAATCAATAATATTACATAGAATTTCATTCTTTAATAATATCTAATTAATTGATAGGAATTATGAAAAAGTAAATACATTTTAATATATACTTATCATATTCATTTTAATATTATAGTTAACTGATATAATAATAGATGTATCTATAAGATTTGAATATAATTGAAAATCTTATAAATTTACTTATATTAAATATGTACTATTTATTAAATAAGAGTTATAGAATTTATTTTTTTTTATTATGGTATTTTATCCATTTAAAATTCTTAATTATGGATAAGTAGTGTAAAAGGTAAAAATTGATGAGTTTATTAAATTAGATTAATCTATAATAAGATATTTATAAGATAATAAGGATTCAATTTAGGATAATTTAAATAATGCTGATTCTATAAATGTACAATTTTTAATTTATAAATTTATTATATTAATTGATCCTCGCATTTAAAACGATTATGAATTAAAAATTGAGGAATTAATAAGGGTAGTGTTTATTATGGTAAAATTATTTAGAGTTATATTCCCAAATTATTCTGTTTTAAATAGTGAATCAATATTTTATAATATACTCTATGTTATAGTAAAATTTGTAAGTATTAAATCAATTTTAGTATTACTATTATAAAAGATAAAATGTTAGTTTGAGTCTATTACAAATCCTAAATTACTAATTTCTACTTAATCAAAATTATAAAAAGGTTTAAAATTAAATGAAATGATATCTAAATATTATGATGATGAAAATTTGAGGTTGACTTTTTTTAAGTTTATAACTTTTTATTTTAATTCTGTTTGAATATTGAATGGAAGAATAAGAAAACATTATTAATTTGAGATCTTAAGAACGAAATTAATTGTCAAATACTCAATTCCAATTTGATTGCAATATTGAGTATTAATTTTTGACTCATAATATCTATTAAATCTTGTAAAATCACATGATTCATATGAAACATCAAAAACAAATTGATCTTTACAATCTTTAGTAAAACAATACCTTACATATTATGAATAAGGATCATAAGAAAAGGAAGGATCAAAGTATGGTTTAATACATTGTTTAGTATAAATTTAGTTTTGATCATTAACAATGAAAAGTGGATAGTTTCGCTATTCATAATATTTTATTTTTTTACTTGAATATCTTTATTCGAACGATGCAAGCATACTTCACAGAATGGGTGACAATAAGTACACGTATTACTTAATTCTGTTATAATTTATTTTTTGTAGTAATTTAATGGACAGAATTTACAATAAGTACTAATTTAATCACATAAAATGCATTAAGGATCACATTCTATTACTTTTTTTTAATTTAAAAATTTATTGTAAACATATTATTTTAATTATGGAACAAATTAAAGAATAAAACTTTGAATCTTATTTTGTAAATTATAGATTAAGTTTTTCTAAACATCTAATTCTTCATTTTAATAACATTAATCATTTTCAATAATGAAATTACTTTAACAAACTATGCATTTGATTTATAGATCTACATTTAGAGAACATATTAAACAATTAACAATATATTTCTAACAATTAGATATTTCTGGTGCAATGGAAAAGTCATCATTCATAGATGAAACACATTATTCCTAATTTTAAAAATTTATATAAGATCTTTGACAATTCATAATTTCAGGGATTTATCTTAAGCATAATTCTAAAGTAAAATCAAAAATGTAGTTTTCTTCACAAAGTGCACAACCTATTTTGAAATTTTGCCTTAAATTCAAATTCAAACTAGGTAACTTAAATAAAGAGCAAAAATTTTAATTAGTAGTAGAGTATTCAAAACAGTATATGCAATTTTTGATTTTACAAATTTTACAATAATTATCAAAGGAATAATAATATGGTGGTAAACAAATGAGTTCAAATTTAGCTTTTGCTGAAGGTTAAAATATACATTCACCATTTATTAATTTATAATTACCATAACATTTTACACATATAAAAGTAGTAGGAGTTACTTAACAAATTTAACAACTTTTTATGAAACATTCATAACAAATGAATTAATCTGTATCAACAAAATCCATTTATTAACAAAATTGTCTAAAATAATTTTAAGACAAATAAAATTCTTTATAAATGCCTGTAATATTTGTAATTAAGGTTTCATAAGAAAATGAATAAGTGTTATGAATAGAATTAAGTTATATTCCATCAAAGTAATACTAAACATCACCAAATAGAAGTAATGCCTCATAATAAGATGTATTTGGTTTGATAACTAATACTCTTTGGCAAATTGGATATTCAAACCATGATTTAGGGTTATTAAGACATTCTAGGCAACTAATAAAATCATCCTTAATAATAGAAGGACTAAATTTTAATTATTTTTTTACCATTATATACAATTCCCATCAAATTCAAAAAATCCATATTTACAATTCTAATTATTATTAAGATTTTAATCTTCAATCAATCTAAGATTTGAATCTACGTATGTTTAACATTTATTTTAATTATCTATTGTATTATATGGACAAATGCAGACTTTATGTTCTTAAATATAGATTCTTTAAGATTCAATGGAACAAGACAAACAATCCTAATTGGTTGGACCATCACATTCATAACAACTGTAATGACAATTTTATGTTGTAATTTCTTTATAACAATTAAAAAACTCTAAATTGTTTATTTAGATGTTTAAATAATTCATTTATGTTTATTAACAATTACCATATTAGAGTTTAAATAAACAATTATGAAAGTGATTAACTTCAAATTAAGCATCATAATAGAATATTTCTTAACCTTCATAAAATGTAATTTCTACAATTAACTTATTATCTAATAATTCAACTTTGAGATAATGCCATATATTGATCTTATTTTTAATTAATAATTTCTTCTTTATTAGGAAAGGATTATCTGAAAAATCAATAGAAACATCTGGAAAAGTATAACTATATGTAATTATTTCTATTTCATTTTATAATGATGTTATATGATAAAATAATTAAAAGGGTGATAAATTTTGATTTTAAAATATTGGGTTTTATAAATTTGGTGAAATTTTCATTAATTAATAATTGAGTATTCCAGATGGATTTATAATCTCTTTAATTTTAATCCAACCTATTAATATAAATGATTCACAATTTAAATTATCAGAAAAATAGATATCATATTCTTATTATTTAAAATCCTTATCTCCAATCAAGAATTTCTCATTTGGTTAACAAATACATTAATCAAATTATTTATATGCTTAATTTGCAATATCAATAAAAGCAAAATCAAGTGTTAAACTTTAAATTGAAAATTCTTACAAAATAATAGTGCCTGGAAAATAAGAAAATATTTCACCATTTTTAATTTCATGTATCTTTGAATTATGTACTCTAAAATTACCTCCAAATGATAGGATTAAGTTTTCATCATTAAATGGATATTTCATTGACTTTATAGTTTAAAATAAAACTTCCTACATTTTAATAAATATCAATTTAAATATATTCTAAGATGGATAAGCTATTAATTGTAAGTAATACCAAGTGTTTTCATAATCAAATGAATCAATTTCTATTTAAAGTCTAACCTATTCATCTAAATTATTAATAAATAGGATTTTTTTAATTATTTTTCTTGAAACAGAGTCTAAACAATCATAATAAATAAGATTTAAACTTTATGAATTCTATTCAATTGCATTATGTAAATGAAAACAGTGACTATCGAATAATCCATACATTCCTACCTATGTAATTGTACTTAATGGATTATACTTTGACCATAATCCATAAGTCAAACAAGTATTAGTTGTATATTCATTTTCTGTTAATTAAATAAATTTCCTTTGATATTGATAAGCTGGATTCATTTTGATGGTCTCAAAACCATTCAACATCTTTGTACTTAATACCAAGAAACTTATTAATATCATAAGAATAGAGTGTGTAAAACTTTATATAATTAATATATTTTATAAAGTTTATTCTTATATTTGAATTTCTTATTATAATTCAACCATCTTTTTAAATTTAAACTTTAAGCTTCATTAACATATATTTTAATGCTTTATTAATTGACATTATCAACAATTATTGTTCATTCATAATAAAAACATTATCATCTTTTGTTTCTAAAAAAATATTGTTAATGATTAAAAATTAGAATTTACAAAATTTTATTAAGGATTTAATGAATTATTATTGAATATATATTTATATTCATATTTTATAATTATTTATTATTTTACATATTAAAAAGTAACAAATTTAATAATATTATATGTAATTTCTTTTAATTCATTTCCATCCTTAAAATAGTTGAAATACCTTTGTAAAAGAACATTAATGTTTTGTTACTCAGCACAATTATATCAAAAATACTTTTTGTTATTCTAAATTATGTATTATCAAATACAATTTAATTAATATCAGTCAATTAAAAATTAAATAGCAAGAAAGTTTAAATAGTTTCATTAATTAATATGATGTTGTTATCTAATCATATACATATAAATACTTGAATAAAGAAAGTATTAATTTAATAAATAAAGAAAAGTATATTATTCAATCAAAAAATGTACTTAATTATTTTTAAATTAGAGCACAATCTTGGTTATCAATTAAGACTGGTGTTTCTTATCTGAAAAAATACAGAAATATAGTTTAATGTTCATATTTTGAATGAAACTTAAATTTAAATTTATATTCTTACCCAACCTTAAATAGGAATACTGGCTTCATAAATTCCACTTCCTTATATGCAATTGTTTCTGAATTCACCAACATATCTAGTATTGTCATTAAAAATAAGTTCTCCATTGCCATGCATCTTTCCCTTATACACATTACCCTTATATACACATCCATTAGCGAATTCAAATTTGCCTTAACCATGAATTTTGCCATCTTAAAATTGTCCCACATAAATTGTTCCATTTTTTCTTATTTCTGTACCTTCTCCAATCAATTTATTATTAAGCCAAAATCCTCTCACTTCTTTACGAGAATTCACAAATTTGCCTATACCATTAGCTATATTATTGACAAAATTCCCATCAAAACTAAACAAATATAAATTGTTTATAATACTAATCCCCATTTGGATAAATCATCCTAGCTCTTCCATTTAGTTGATTATCGATCCAAGTCCTTTAAATATTAGAATATAGATTTTACCCTTCTAAAAAGTTTCCTTCTTTCTACCAGTGCTATTTTCCTTAACCATTTCTCTTTCCATTTAGTGTTTATCCAAAAAATATACTCTGATCCGGCATCATGATATACTGGCCCTATAGATTTGGGAATAAATCTCCCAATTCTTAATGCACTAGTTAAACTTTAGGATGAAGCTCTCCTATACTGCTTAAGTTCATTCCAATTTGTAAATAATAATCTTAAGAGTCAGATAAATCTAAATCTGTCTAAAGTGTTGTTTGATTGACTAAATTAATGTAATAGCAATGTACTTGAATCTGGTAATTTGANTTTATATTCATATTTTATAATTATTTATTATTTTACATATTAAAAAGTAACAAATTTAATAATATTATATGTAATTTCTTTTAATTCATTTCCATCCTTAAAATAGTTGAAATACCTTTGTAAAAGAACATTAATGTTTTGTTACTCAGCACAATTATATCAAAAATACTTTTTGTTATTCTAAATTATGTATTATCAAATACAATTTAATTAATATCAGTCAATTAAAAATTAAATAGCAAGAAAGTTTAAATAGTTTCATTAATTAATATGATGTTGTTATCTAATCATATACATATAAATACTTGAATAAAGAAAGTATTAATTTAATAAATAAAGAAAAGTATATTATTCAATCAAAAAATGTACTTAATTATTTTTAAATTAGAGCACAATCTTGGTTATCAATTAAGACTGGTGTTTCTTATCTGAAAAAATACAGAAATATAGTTTAATGTTCATATTTTGAATGAAACTTAAATTTAAATTTATATTCTTACCCAACCTTAAATAGGAATACTGGCTTCATAAATTCCACTTCCTTATATGCAATTGTTTCTGAATTCACCAACATATCTAGTATTGTCATTAAAAATAAGTTCTCCATTGCCATGCATCTTTCCCTTATACACATTACCCTTATATACACATCCATTAGCGAATTCAAATTTGCCTTAACCATGAATTTTGCCATCTTAAAATTGTCCCACATAAATTGTTCCATTTTTTCTTATTTCTGTACCTTCTCCAATCAATTTATTATTAAGCCAAAATCCTCTCACTTCTTTACGAGAATTCACAAATTTGCCTATACCATTAGCTATATTATTGACAAAATTCCCATCAAAACTAAACAAATATAAATTGTTTATAATACTAATCCCCATTTGGATAAATCATCCTAGCTCTTCCATTTAGTTGATTATCGATCCAAGTCCTTTAAATATTAGAATATAGATTTTACCCTTCTAAAAAGTTTCCTTCTTTCTACCAGTGCTATTTTCCTTAACCATTTCTCTTTCCATTTAGTGTTTATCCAAAAAATATACTCTGATCCGGCATCATGATATACTGGCCCTATAGATTTGGGAATAAATCTCCCAATTCTTAATGCACTAGTTAAACTTTAGGATGAAGCTCTCCTATACTGCTTAAGTTCATTCCAATTTGTAAATAATAATCTTAAGAGTCAGATAAATCTAAATCTGTCTAAAGTGTTGTTTGATTGACTAAATTAATGTAATAGCAATGTACTTGAATCTGGTAATTTGATATTGAATTATTATTGGGGCTAATCTTTACTTGATACACAACCCATTGTTTAATATTTTCAATTTAGATAATTTTAATTGATACTAAATTCGAATACACAAACATTGATCAACTCTTAAAAATTCAGAATTTAATATTCAAGATCAACATACTTAAAATATCATTTAATATGCAATGAATAAATTTATGTGTAATTTCTAATTACATTTTTTAATATGATTTATAAATAAAACATGTTTCATAAAATGATAATTTTTTTTATATTATATTATTATTCTCATTACAAAAATGCTAATGGAACTAAGAGAGATATTATGCTTATTTGAAATTTACTTTATTATTTTATTACTATATTATAATGAATGAAGAATTTAATTAGAATAATATATTTAAAATATAATTTCAATGAGTTTATCTAGGAATGGATCTAAGTTTTCAAGACATGATCGCATTGCAAATTCTTAGATAATAGATTTAAAAAAGAATAAAATGTATCCATCTTCAAGCAAGAATTCTGATTAATCAGGTGGATTTTTTCTTAGTTTAGCTAATATGAAAGCACCAGATTATGGATAAGCACAATTATTAAATAATGATACATTGAAAAATAAAATAAAAGAGAAAAGAAATTAAAAATCAATGGATAATGATTCTATGTTGAATAAATTTGTTACTAAAGTTGAGACTAAATTGATTTCATCACCATTAAAAAAAAAAGTAATTGCCATTGATCCAAAAATTGATATGCCTACTTAAATCAAACCATATTCACTCACTCCTTAATCTCGATTATAATCATTTCGTATTGCAAGTCCTTCATAAAAACCTAGATCATAAAGTTAAAATAAAAGAAATGAAATCTATTATCTAAGTAAATTATAAAGGGCTTTTGATGCTAATGGTTCTGATTATTTCTCTCGCATGTATCGTGAACATTTTCATTAAACTTATTAAGGATTAAATTGTAGATTTTAACCTCAAAATAATAATGACTATAATAGGTCTCATAAATTACCAAAAAAAAATTAAAGTATATTACATCATAACAAAATAAGGATAACTCACTTTGTTTTTTGATTTAGATGAAACATTAGTTCATTGTAATGAAACACCCTCTATTCCTTGTGATGTTATTTTAGAAATCAATGTCTCTAAACATCAAATAGTAAAAGCAGGAATTAATGTAAGACCATATGCAAAAGAAATGTTAAAAAATTTATCAAATTATTTTGAAATAATAGTCTTTACTGCCTCACATAGTTGTTATGCAGAAAAGGTAATAAGAATATTTGATTAGGTTTGCAATCATTTAGACCCTGATTCTACCATTATAAGTCATCGATTATTTAGAGAAAGTTGTACTTAAACTAATACTTCCTTATATACTAAAGATTTAAGAATATTTTGTGATAATACAAATAGATAGTTAAGTTAAGTTGCTTTGATTGATAATGCCTCATATTCTTATGCATGGTAAATAGACAATGGGATACCAATACTTCCATTCTATGATAATAAAGAAGATAGAGAATTAATAGAATTGGAAAAATATTTGAAAAACATGATAGGAACATCTGATATAAGAGAATATAATAGAAATAATTTAAAATTACATTTGTTTGTAGATTAACGTGGACCTTATAAAGTATTAGAAAATCTATTTGGTAAACCACAATAACTTTTATGAGTATTAGAAGATTATCAATAAATTCATTCAATGCTTTTTTCTTAATTTAGCATCAGCTCTTTATGCTTCTTCTAATTTAGTCTTCATTTTCATAGCTAAATCAAAATTTCCAGTTTTCCATGCAATCAAATCTTCTCTAAAATTAGAATCAGATGGTAAAGGATGACTAATAATTATTATTAATAATAATACTCTTCATCTTCTAATACATAAGGTTCTGTATTGATATTCCATATTTCTTAATTATCTATAAACATATTTTTATGCCATATTCCATTAATTTTTGAAATTTCCCTTATAATTTCATTTTATTTTAATTCTTTAAATTTCAAATATCCATCTTTTTAAAATCTCCTAACAAATTCTTCATTTACTTCATAGATGAAACCTTCAAAATAATCATCTAAATGTTCTCTCCTTTTTTTCCATAATGAACCTGGATAAGGATTCATTTTAATTTCAGCAACTAATCTATGTTTCAAATTAATAACATGAAATTTCCCCACCATTTAGAATAATTTATCACCATATAATGTTCCTGTATAAAGTCCAGAACAAGGTAAGAAAATGAGTTCATTTTTAGATTCATAGAAATAAACTTTCGTATATCCTTAATTAATTCCACTAACTGAATTAGCTGAAATACTTGCTACAGTACATAAACGATGATTTACTCTAATATATATAATAAAACAATTCTATACCTATATCCTTTTCCATAAATCAATAAATTACTAATAGGTGGATGATGTGATACTTATTCTGCATAAATAGGACAACCATTAATAAAACCTGAATATGTTTCTCCAAGTATAGGATTAAATGGCTTCCACATATTCAAATATAAAATAACTGTACCATATCCATATGGCAAGAAATTTTTAAATTGAAATAGATGATCTTTTGAAACTGCCCCATCTAAATATTATAAGTAAGTTAATGAATTAGCATATCTCTAAAGATTACTTTATTTTTCAAAGACATATACAGGTAAACTAATACTCATTATAGACTTTCCAGCAGCTAAATTTGTTCCTATTTAAGACAGTAAATATGAAAATACTTTCTTTTGTTCTTTTAATCCAACCTAATCAACATATAATAAACCACCTTAATTTTAATCTATTTTCCAATAATTTTTTAATAAGAAATGTCCCTCTGATGTAGATTTAAGGAATTTTGGTTCTACTTCAATAGGTTCCAATTGAAATTCATTATTTAAACAAACATTCCAGTGTTTATTCTATTAAACAAATTCTAAAAGTTCCATTAAATTATTAGGTATCTTACTTTCTAAATCTATTGATTAATCAAATTTTTCAGTAATAAAATCATCAGAATGATTAGATAAAGACATAGTAGTTTATAGTTATTATTATTATTCAAAATGTAAATCTCTAAAATTAATAACATAATCAATATGATCTGATAAACAATGATATTATTCCATAAATGCTATATTTTAAGAATCAAAGAAGATATTATCATTTAATTAACATATAATCTGAACTATTGTTTATTGAGTAATTAAATCATTAGAATAATTTTGATTTCTTTTTTAAATTCCATTAAATGAATATTTTTAAATTGATTTTCTGAATAATTTAGCAATTGAATATATTGGATTTGTTGAATTAAGTTATTTTTCTATAATACAATCTTAAGATTTGTATCTCATGATATATAATTATGTTTCTCTCTAATATCCAAATATGGATTAAATTCTAGTTTAATCTACTACCTTATAATCCTAATAATCAAACATTGTCCATTCAGCTCCAATAAATTTATTAAATCCAAAACCCTCATACAGAAAATGTTTAACAACCTCAATATCATGTTCTAATATAACTTATACTTAGTATAATCCTCTCTTAGATACACTTTTATAAACATTATTTCCTACTCTATTAAATTCTCCTTACCTAAATTTATCTACAGTTATATCAGTTAAATATAAAGGAACATTTTATACTTTAGGTATTGTTTCTACTATATTATGTGGAGTGAATGCATGTAATTATTATTTCTCTTCTTAATTGAAACAAGTAAAAGTCTCTTATTAATTCTTTTTTTAATTATCTGGAGATTCTGGTTATTCTGATATTTTTTACATATCTTTATTGGATGGTTTAGAGAATAACCAACTCTCATTATAATTGTCACTTTTACTCAAATCCAATTGATCAGATTTATTCAAAGGAGGAGAGGAAGCTGTTTATTTTGCAAATTCAACACTCATCCTTCTTGGTTAGATTGGTTTAGTATCACAAATTGGACTCAAAAGATTAAACCATTTTTTAGCATATTCTTCATCATCTGATCCTAAAATCAATTACTTATAATGATCATATATTGCTTGATTATGTGCAATTAAAATAAAACAATAATGCAAACTTTTACTTTTCTTTTAACCTATCCACATTATTCCATATTTTTATAATTACATTTCTACATTACCTTCTTTTCTAGGTACAATTAATTTTTTATGTGTTAAATTCAATTCTAACTTTTTTGTTCTCCAAATTCCAAGTGTCTCTCCTTTTACATGTAATTCACCTAAAATCTTTGAATCATCCTCTAATTCTAAACTCTTAAACATTGAACAGAACATACTCTTTTGAGCCTCGATTGGTAAATTAAATAATCCTTAAATTTCATCTACTTCCAGATCAGGATAATTTTCAGGATTTATTTCAATTTCATTGTTTGCATGATTCTTAATAGAAAATATTAAAAAGTTTAACTTCTGTCTTTGAGCTTCAGGTACATTTGATCCCAATATCAGATACTTCTCATAATATTCATCAAACATATATTTAGAATAGAGATAAATTATATTATTAATTTTTTACACAATTATGTTACAATCATTACAATTTGATGACAAGTGTGAAATTATTCTGCTTAGATAATATTATTTAATAAAATATAATTTAATTGTTGGTTGATATTCATTTTCTTCAAATTTACAAAAAATCAATAAAATATTATATATTATCTTCAAATTAAAGATTTTATATTTCCATTTAATAATCTCATTCTCAATAAATTAACTCTAAATGAATTAAAATTTTATACTAATTCTAAAAAAAAAGGTACCTCTTTACAGAATATAAAATTAATAGAAAAAATAGAATTTATAGACAAACTGCCATTATAATTATATTAAAAGAAGAATGCTCAAATTTTGATACAACTTTAGAATATGATTTATCTTAAACTATACAACATTCAATGTCTAATTATAATTTCTAAATACTAGATGAATTAATACTTATTTATTATTATTATATATGAATTACAATTATCTAAGTATAAATATTTATATTATAAATGAGTTAAATAAATTAAATGAGTTTAAAATGTATACTTTCAAAACTCATTCAAATACAGAACTTGATTAAGTAATTATTGTTTTGTTATTTTTTCATTTATACTATATTATATTATTTTATATATTAATATAAGATAGTATATAATCAAAAATCCATCATTATTTGATAAAGCCTTGTAAAATCTGATGTTATAATTATATATTTATAATTATATCAATTCTTTTTTATTGAATTAATATATCATTACAAAAAACTGATAAGAACTATTATTTTTATTGTTTCGGTTTGTTTGCATATTTTTGTCAATAAAAAAAAAAATAGTATTTTAAGCAGAGAAAAACAAAACCAAAATTTACTGATCACTTTTATTTGAAAACAAATGAATAAAAATGATTGTTAAATTTGATCAAGTCTTTATTTGAAGATGGATTTATTATATTTCTTTAAAATTTAATAATTTATGATTTTTTATTATTTTCCTACTTTGAATTTGCAAATAAAGAAAGAAATACAAACCTTATTAAATGATAAAAGACGTTTATTTGTAGGCTGATATTATTGATTGAATTTATTTGATAATAGTACAATTTCTTGATACGTAAATATAGTATTTTTTTTTTGGCAGTTTTAAAATTAGAAATGAATATGATAATTAGAATTTGTGATGTGTTTGTCATTGCTGAATATTTATCACTTGTTTTTAATATATAATTATTTATCCATCTTTACATATGATTAGATTCATTATATAGGAGGTCATATAGTATTTATGAGACTTCATAGCAACATTTTGTGAGATTTTATTAATGGATTTGAAAAAATTTAAACGATTTATTTATTAAGCAATTCTTATTATGCAGCACAATTCGTTATTGTGATCAAAAATACAATTATTTTATATTCAAAAAAATGGCAGAAGAATGGATTACTAAATAGATTGATAAATACATTATTGTTAATTAAAAGCTGGGAAGTGGAGCATTTGGTACTGTGTATAGGGGATTTAAAAAAAATGATGAAACTAAATAGGTTGCTGTTAAAGCAATATCAATTGCTGTAAGAATATTAGAATAATGATTTTAGAGTATCAAAGACTCAGCGAAGATGGTGGAACACATTAAAAGAGAGATATCTATTTTATAATAGGCCAATAATCCTCATATTGTTAAATTGTATGATGTTGCTAGAACACCACACTATTTGTATCTATTTTTGGAATATTGTCATGATGGAGATTTAAAGAAATACTTATCAACAAAATATGGAAGGAGATTAAGTGAAGTACAATAATTTTATATATATATTTTAATTTCTTAGGTTGAGGCAGTCATCTTTCTGAAGCATTTAGTTGAAGGATTCCGAACACTTCATTAACTCAAAATTATACATAGAGATATCAAACCTGCTAATATATTGTTACATAAAGGCGTAGCTAAAATTACAGATTTTGGATTTGCTAGAGTGATTGACACTGGAATGAATGGTAAAATAAACAGTTTAATCAAATAGATCCTGCTTATTTTTCAAGAGTAGGATCTCCCTTATATATGGCACCTTAAATATTGGAGGGATAACCGTTTTCCTCTAAATGCGATGTCTGGTCAATGGGAGTGATGTTATTTGAAATGCTTTATGGAAAACCTCCTTGGGATGGAGACAATCAATACAATTTACTTTAGAATATTAAGAAAACTGTATTAATGATACCTGATGCTCCAGTAAGGAGTGATAAAATTAAGCAATTATTAAGACATATGTTGGTAGTATAAGAGAAAGTAAGGATATAGAAATTTACTATTTTATAGGATAGATATTCTTGGGAATAAATTTTTAATCATGAAATTATACAGATTTAAGAAGCTTAAATAAAGAATAATTTAGAATAGTTGATGAAGGAGAAGGATGAATTGTCACGATCTGAAAGTCTCAATAAATTATACTTAGAAATGAATTTGGTTGTTGGTTATTTAGATTAGCCTGAATAGATACTTTAAGAACCATCAACTCCTTAATTAACATAAGGAAATGAAGAAAAACAATCTGTAGATGATATTAATCATGAAAAAGTATCTTTTTTACTTTAATATTTTATAGGGGTTAAAAATTATTAATTAATATGAGACTGAATAAAAACGTAGAAAAGCTATGTTAAAATATAATACTTACTTTTTATTTGAAAGAAATATTGCTTTCTTCTTTAATTATGTGATTTAAAAAATAATTAAGATGTCACATTAAGGAATGCTTAAATTGACCCAAGAATTATATTATTCAATAATTTTTTGTATCTCCAAAAATTAAAATGTACATCTTAAAAGGATGTATGATTAATTAATGTCTACTAATCCTGATAAATTTGATAGAGAAACTTGGGGTAGGTATTTAATAAGTTAAGAATATAAGAAAATATTAACTGTAACAAAAAATGATATTAAACATACAGAGGATTTTTATTTAGAAATTTATAAGAAGGAAAAGCAAATTATTGATAAAGAACTTACATAACCTGATAACAAAAGGGCAACCAAAATAAAATAAGTATTGGATGTTAATTTTGATCAAAATAATTTCTTTTAATAACTTTATCAGTCAGTTGTACAAGAAGGTTTAGACGTTATTAAAACTTCTATTAAATAAACTAAAGATTCTGATCCTGTATATAAAGATTTACTCTAATTAGGATGGTTTCTTGTAATCTGTTTGAATCCATACTTAGAATTTAAAGATATAAATATGGATTTTAATTAATTCTATGAAGAAATGCAAACACTCACAGAAACATAATTTTTAGAAAAAATTGGTAAACGTCTAGATTTATGAAATTTTTATATTTAAATTAATTCTATGAACTTTTATTCCTATAATTATAAATATAATATCATATTTTAAAATATTAATTTATATAATAATGGTTATAGTGATACTAATCTTTTAAGATTTATGAAATTATCATTAATAATTACTATTTAAAATATAATAATAAATTGATTCTTAATAATTAAGGGTATTTTTATATTAATAATATAACTTTGTTCTCCAGATATGTTTAATTTATTGTTATTTAATTAAATATAGTCTTTAGGGATATATTTTATATTGATAAAAGATTCAAATGAGTGAACATTTTTATGGCATTTCTTTTTAATAAATATAATTTAGTAATAATTCTAAATTTTTTATCATAAAGGAATAATTACAATACTTTCTAAATATTTATATTAAATTTATTTAACAGACTTCATGATTTATTTTGAGAAAGAAATTTCCACAAAATTTATAAATTATAATATAATTATTATTATTAAAATTTCCTGTTTTTGAGTAAAGAATATCAAATTTTGTTGATATTTATATTGTGAATTTATCAGCCTTGTAATTAGATATTTATAGCTTAAATCAACTTAAAATAGACACTTTTGAGTTAATGAATACTTATTTAATCTTTTTATTAATTAAGTAATTTACAATTTTGATTGACATCTATTATTTCAAAAAGATCTATTATATTTTATTCCTAATTAAGACAATCTTATATTGTTACTCTCTCTCAATATCTCATTTTTATTAATAAAAAGGAATTTATAATTATTTTGATTATAATTAATATTTAATCATTTATTTTCTTTTTTAAAATGGGGGTCATCTTAAAGAACACCAGAAATTTTGTTAACCATATCATGATTACAATCTTAAGAATGGTTTGAATGTTTCAAGAATTCAGTTACTAATTTATTTTACATTTGTTAGAATTTCTAACTATTTGAAGTTGGAATATTTAATTATTAATTAGATTGTTGATTTTGTGCTGCTTGTTAAGCACTTTTAAAATGCAATCTAAATACATCAGATAAACTTTCAGGAATATTCTCATCCACTTACAATTCTTCAATATATCCTGTTTCTACTCTTAATAACCATCCATGTACCATAACAGCTAAAAAAATTAATAAAATAAGATACGATGTCCAATTTCCCAAGATTTCTATACTATTGGATTTTTCCACATATTAAGTACTTATTCTCTAACATTTAATCCTGACAAACATGCTACTCGATCATTCTCATTCTCAAATTGATTTACAATATGTTAATTCTTCTCATATACATGTTTGATATTATTGAGCCAAAGATCTAATAAACCACCTACAGAGTCTTATTACATGGCTGCCTTTACACCTCCACAATATGTATGACCCATAATAATGATGTTATGAACTTTTAGATGTTCTACAGCATATTAGACTACACAATTTAACTAAAGATGACTTAAGAATGATTACATTTAAGTCTGTAATGTTGACAACATTAGCTATGTTACGATGAATGAAGATTTCACCTGGTTCGGTCTCTGTCAATTCATTTGGAGGAGCTCTAGAATCAGAACATCCAATTAACAAATATTTTGGATTCTAACCCTATGCTAACTTAGTGAAATAATTTGGATCTTATGCTAACTTCTTTTAGACATAGTTTTTGTTTCCCAAAAGAGCTTTTGCATACTTCTATATTTCTGATATTCCTTTTTAAACGAATTTGTTTGACATTATAATTTATATATGTTTTGGATATTATGATTTAATTTATAAAATTCATACGTTAAATCAGGCCTAATTAATTCTTACTTTTGTTATATATTAAAGTGCAACTGATTAATAGTAATTGCTTTTTAATTTAATATTTTATATAATCTATAAAAGAGGAATATCTCGAAATGCTTATCCAATATGACTTGAATGAGTGAAATGAACATGAAAATGATAAAAAGATGGAAGATAATGAACAAAGACTTTAATAAATTTTTACTCTAATTTATATTTTTCCTATATTATTCTTAAACCTTCAGTATACATATCTTCCAACATACTTATATGATCCTAATTTAAATCCCGTAATGATTTTATATCTCTTTAAAATGGAAGTGCCAATAAATGTAAATCATCTAAGCTTTTAGAATTCACAAAAACATAATCTTTAAGAATTAAAAATGTTTGATTTTCAAATACAATATTTTCAACCTCTTTCTTCTTTTCTAATATATTATATACCCAATCTAATGGCATTTATATAATTTATTATTCTTTATACATATCATAGGTTTCTTCTATTATAATTGAATCAGATTTTGAATATTTATCAATATGAACCTAATTTGCAGGATATATCAATTCACAATCAATATCATTCAACATTTGACAATTGTATTTTGTATATATATCATTATGGAAATATTAAAGTGCTTAATCAAATTATAGTTGCTGAATTTCCTTTTCAAAAGGTTTCTTCTATAATATAAGAATTGCACATTAATTATTCAAATTACCCAATAATATAAGTTTCTTTGTATTATCATCCCAATTAATCATTTATGAAGGTCTAAATTGTTGAAGTAACTCATTATTCATTTGATTAAGTATATATATATATATTTAATAATAATTCCCATATTCTTTTAATAAAACAACTAAATTTCATTAGAATAGTAATTAACACATATTTCAATGAATGAAAATGATAAGAAGTATTCATTGCCTCCTCTTCGAATGTCTGAACTTCAAGATCTACTTAGATAATCTAATGAATAGCATAAAAAGGATGTTATTTATAGTTACAGGGATACAAAAAAGAAAAGACAAAAAGAAATTGCTGATTTAGATAAATATAAAACAATTGAAAGAAAAGGTGTAATTTTAAATCAAATTTAGTATTCAATTCTTAAAATAAATTGTAAGGGAGACCATTTGGAAAGGATTTAGATATCTTTTTATGCAAAGAACCATTGATTGATGATTTCCTTAAACGACATATTATTGCACCTTAAAGAAATCTTGAAAAAGGTCTAAAAGACAGTATATTAAATAGTATTCTTTAGTAAAGACTGGAAAATATTAGTTTTTGGATGGAAGATGTTTTGGAAATGTTCCTGAAAGTTAATTAAGTAAAAAAGAAAAGCAATTCAAGGAGTATTGGAAAGAGTACAATTAACAACTTTCTGAATAAAGATATAAAATGTTATTAGATTCTTAAACTGGTTTATAGAAGAAAATAAATTAATAAAAAAGGCTTAAAGCTTTAAAAATATTTGTTCCTAATAAGTATTCACCTGGATATTTTAATGATCATCCATCATAAATTTTAAGTTTTACGTAAAAATTATATTTTATTTTAGTGAAATGCATAAACATTCATAACCATAAATTTGGAGTCCTAATAGTTTCTATGGTGATTCATTTGATGAAAATTTAAAGTAATACTAATAAAAAAGTAATTCTAAACTCAGTAACTCTGTCTTAAAAGATCAAAGTAAAAACTCCATAAAAGTTAATTGAATTAAATAAGATAATTGTTATTTTCAATATGATAACTAATATATATTGTATACTTATTCTGAATCCATTTAGTGAATATCTCTAAAATATAATTACATAATGGTTGCATAAAATAAATATTATTTTCAATTTAAACATTATAAATGCCATATAGAAAAAGAATTTAAATAATTTTTGTTTGGCTACTTCATTAAGAGAAATACACAATAACTATTAACTTTGGGAGTATAGCTCAGTTGGGAGAGCGTAAGACTGAAGATCTTAATGTCATGGGTTCGATCCCCATTGTTCCCATTTTTTATATTTTAAATAATATAACTATTTTTTAAGTTTCTAATTTAGTTTTGAGTTTTACATAAAAAAAACAATATACAATTATTTCAGAAACATAAAATAAGAGATAATAATATAATATTATATATAGAGTTTATTATGAATTTTTACAATAATAAATGAACATCAACAAATGTGTCATTATTATTAATCTGCTTGTTCATCTTCAACTTCTTCTTCATAATACTCTTCTTCTTATCCTGCTTAGGATCTAAATTATGATAAAATGAATTATTATACTTCATCCAATTAATCATAGGTTCACTCAATTTTCTATAATGATTATCCAATTATTCATTATATAAGAAATCTTATTGTGCTTCATTTTTCCATTCTTCAGAATTCTCAAACCATTTAATTAAATATTATTCCTCAACATAAGAGTAATCATAAAATCCTTTTAATACTGTTCCAAAATATTTATCATCTATATTTCGTTTCTTCATCAAATATTAAATATTTAAAATCATATGACATTATGCTAATTAAGGATCTAGATCATTAAAATAAGTAGTTAACAATTCATAATTTCTTTCAAAAGCTTTTGTTGGGTTTTCATCAAACATGCTTTAAAATATTAAATAACAAACTCTATCTTTAAGATGTCTATCCAAATTAAATTTCTTTATATCTTGAGTTATCATCATATCAGCAACATCATTATCTATTTTTTCATTAACAACCAATCTATTATAAGTGTCTCTTATTTATATTAAGAAAGTTTCTAATAATTCAGAGTCCAATCCTACTTCTGCAGCCACAATTTTCTTCTTTTTTTATTTATCTTCTTTATTTCCACTTTATCCTTCACTATTAATCATCTGAACTTCATCCTATCCATTTTTTATTGATTAATTTCCACCAGGAGGATTCTTTAAAATATAACTTGCTAATCTATGTGTATTATCCAAATCACTAACATGCCCACATGAATCACATTGTCCATAAATTATCTTACCTCCTTTGATTTTCATATACATCTCTGGATATCTACATTTTTAACAAAGTATATATTTCTCAATGAATTTATCCAATTATTTTCTTATTTAATCATCTTAAAAGGCACCATTTATAATACAAGTCACATCGTTGTCATTTTTAAATTTATAAGAAGTTTAAGAACCAAACTCGAAACCTAAATATTTCAAAGGATCTAAGTTA